GCTGATTCCTGGCTGTGTTCAGGGATGACTCAGGTGACTTATGTGGGATGCTGGAATCAAACCGGGTCAGCCACATGCAAGGCAAGTGCCTTACCCACTGTACTATTGCTCTGGTCCCTAATCGTGACATTTCTTACATGAATTTTCCATTAAAACTTTGCTTCTCTTGTATTCTTTTCACTCCAGTTTTGAACCCAGGTTCTCACACATGCAAAGAAAGCCCTCCACTGAGGCACATCCTTAATCCCTTTTAATTCTTTTGGTTTTGGTTTTTAAATCATGACCAAAAACCCAAAAGTGGTGCTCAGAACTTAATCCTGCCTCTGTACCCAGGGATCACTCCTGGAAGTGCTTGGGGACCATATGGGTACCAGGGATCAAACCTAGGTCAGTCGTGTACAAGGCAAGTGCCTTAACCGGTGTGCTGTATCTCTGAACCCAGTAGGAATGTTTTTATTGTTAAGTCCGTATACTCTATATATCATTAAGAATTATTTTATTTTTCTACAAATACAGGATTTTTTTTGGGGGGGAAGGGTTTGGCAGCTTGCTAATTTTTATTGAGGTGTTATTTATATAAGGGTAAGCTCTTTCATTAAAAAAATATTTTATTTGTTTTTTTTTGCCACACCCTGCTGTGCTCAGGGGTAATTTCTGGTGGACGTGGGGGATCATAAATGTGAGTCTGGTTCAGCCTTGTGAGGACAGCTGCTAACTCTGTACTTACTCTCTGGCTCTCCATTACTTTTTCACCCTTGTGTATTCCATATTACAGTTAGTGTTAGATATAAAAAAATTTTGGCAAATGCAAAATTGCTAAATTTTGTGTACATAGGCCTAGGCCAGCCGAGAGCACATGCCCTCATGTGCTTCTGCCCCGCCCGCCTCCCCGTCCTGGTTTCCCTCCCTGCAGGTCCCCTCTCCTCTCCTGCTCTGAGGAAGTCTGTGCTCCAGTCGGACTCCCTCCACTCAGCACGTCCCTTGCTCTGACATTGCAGTGTGGTGCCTTCCTCCTTCCTGACTGCTGAGCTGTCTCTGCGGCACGGTTTGACGGAAGGAGCGTCTTGCTCTGAATGAGCATCTGTGTTCTCTCTGCTTCCTGGCTGTGGTGAGTTGCCGTGCCCAGAGCTGGCTGCTCTCTAACGGAGGTGCTGACGCAGATGCTGCCTCTGCAGTTTGGGGCTGTTCTCCAGGACATCAGGGTCCCATGCCGCCCTCCAGGCCTCCCCACTCCCTTTGCATCTTAGTCTTCGGTGCTTGGCGAAGCCAGTCTCCCTGGCGCAGGCCAGCTCCAAAGCGGCTCCCTGGTCCCGGCCCATCCGCAGCCTTGGAGCTCTGCCCTCGGCAGCTGCTGTTAGACTGCATGGCAGTAGATACTGGATGGGTTCCACTTTTTTTGAGGGTGTTTTGGGCCATGTGTGGGGTGCCCAGGCCTTATTCCTGACTTGGGGCTCAGGGATCGTAAGGGGTGCCGGGGATGGACTGGAGTTGGTCACACGCAAGCCCAATGTTTTTTTTTTCTTTTTTTTCTTTTTTTTGGTTTTTGGGTCACACTCAGCAATGCACAGGGGTTACTCCTGGCTCATGCACTCAGGAATTACTCCTGGTGGTGCTCGGGGGACCATATGGGATGTTGGGAATCGAACCCGGGTCGGCCTTGTGCAAGGCAAACGCCCTCCCCGCTGTGCTATCGCTCCCGTCCCCAAGCCCAATGTTTTAACCCTGTATTATCTCTCTGGCTCCTATTTTTTCTTAATGATGTAAAATCATTTTTTTTTTGGGGGGGGCACATTTTATTAATTTTTTTGGAGAGGTGCTCAGGGCTTACTCTTGGCTCTGTGTGCAGGTGTCACTCCTGGTGGACTCTGGCCTCTGGGGACTCTGTGTGCTGCTGGGGATCAAATCCAGGTAAACTGTATGCAAGTCAGGCTTGCTGTGCTCCGACTGCTTTGGCCCCCGTAGGATCTAGTTCATTGAGGAAGGGTACTGATTCTGGGGAGAATGTGAGCTTTCTGAGAAAGATGAGAGGCGGAGACAGGAGGAGACCTGAAAAACTAAAGGGGGCCAGAGCAATAGCACAGTGGGGGGGTGGGGAGCGCCTGCCTTGCAAGCAGCTGACCCGGGTTTCATCCCAGCACCCCATATGGTCCCCTGAGCACCGCCAGGAGTGATTCATGAGTGCAGAGCCAGGAGTCAGTCCTGAGAACTGCCAGGTGTGGCCTCCAGACAAACAAACCAACAAAAACAAAATGGAGTTAGTATTTCAGAGGAGTCCTCCCGACTGGAGGCCGCAAGGCAGAAGGAGAAACGCCACTGTCAGAACCGGAATGCAGAGTATGGGCTGCAGAGAGTGCGGGAATGCAAATGCTGTGTTGTGAATGTTGTGAGTGAGTGTGGCAGTGAAGGGCTGAGGTGGGTGTTGCCTCATGCCTGCCTGCATGTACTTTGCTGCCTGGCCCTCGAGGGGCCTTTGCCTATTCTCTGCCTTCTACAGGTGGGGAGGGTGCCCCTTTGTCAGTCCTGATTCCACGGAGGAAATCCAGGTCTGTGTGCAGCTCTGTGGGCTCTGATCTGGGTCCCGAGGGCCATCGTTTCTGAGAATGTGGTGTATTGCAGCTCTGGTGACTGCCTGTCGCTGTGAGGCCGCCACTGCTGTGCCCCATCTTGGTCTGAAATTCAGGTGTGTCAAAATATCTAGAGGGCTGGGTTCAAGCAATAGAGCGTAGACCTCGTCTGCGGTGGCCTGGGTGTGGCCCTTGGTACTTGTTACTCTTGGCATTGCCAGTGTGGCCCAAGTACCACCATCACCACCTCGGTATTTTGGGGATCTCCCTTTAGATCACGTCTGTCTGGAGAAAGGGTGAGTACACCTCTGCCTCAGCCCGACCACATGGGATTCCTTCAGCCAAGCCTGGGCTCTTTGGCATAAGCACTACCTGGAGTGCAGGGCCACAGATGGTTCTGTGCTTTGGGGTCACCTTCTGCTGTGCCTGGGGACATGTGGCACAGAGTGCTGGCCTTTCTGGAAGTGTGCTTGTGCTCACATGTGGCAGTGCTCAGGACACTCTGGGTCTGCTCAGAGCCCGGGCCGGCAGTGCGGGGGGACTTGTGTGGGGTTGAGATGGAATCAGGTTAGCTCCAGGAAAGACCCTCTTTGAACCCTGTCCCATCTCTCTGGCCAGCAGGTGGGTGGGCCTTGAGTTGGGAGTGGACACTCTGTGTCACTCTTGGCTGTGAGTGTGTCACCGTGTGCCAGGCTGCCCTGGTTGTGTGGTCAGGCTTTGAGTGGATGGGGTCAACCCCTGTGTGGGGTCAACAGGGTCAATGGCTGTGAGTGCCCTGCTGGTGGTGGCTCTTGCATTACCCCGTTTCTGGTGGTGCTCATGGGCTATTCCTGGCTCTGTGCTCAGGAGTGACCGCTGGTAGTACTCAGGCGACCATGAGGTGCTAAGGACGGAATCAGGGTTGGCTATCTCCCTACCCCGCGCCCCCCTCCCCCCAGCTTTCTGTCCAGAAAGCAGAGACCTGACTGCATCCCACAGCTGGAGAGCCTGGGCCTCCTGTGGAGGCTGAGATTGTCTCCAGGATGCAGTGCTATACCTTTTCTTTCCAACCCCCCCCCCCACCATGCCAGCTCAATGGTGAGGTGTGAGGTGCTGCAGTCAGAGGTCACTCTGGGTGGACCGGCACGAAAGGCCTGGCAGGGGAGTCGATGCGCTGGGCGGGATGTCTGAGCTGTGTTCTGGACAGTGCCACGGTGACATCGCAGGGTGTCTTCAGGCAGTGTCCTCCCTGCCCTCCCTGTGTGGGCTTCATAGTGATGGTCACAAGGGTGCTGGACAGGCTCAGACTCTCCTGCCATGCTTGCAAGACTTTGGTTTCAGTGCTCGCCAGGGGTTGCTGCGAAGCTCACCTGGTCCTCGTTGGGCTCGCAGTCCTGGCTGTGGTGTTGTGGGGTCCACCTCTTTTTGGGGGACACCCTAGCAGCGTCTGCTGCCCTGTACTTTGTGAGGCCGCTTCTGTAGCCCCTGGGGTGCAGTGAGAGGAGTATTACTCTCCAGGAGAGATCTAACCTAGGGCAGGGCCTCTGTGCTCTGCACGTGTGCGTGTGTACAAAGCACCCGTGTGCACGCTGTGTCCTGTTACGTGCTTGCGTGTTGGGGGCATCAGTGAAAGTGCTGAGCTTCCTGTTGCTGCAGCAGCTGGGAGGAAGGAAGGAAGCGAGTAGGCCGTAGTTGCTGGGGTCACCGTGCTGATGTGTGGGAACCCAGGACCCAGTAAGACACAGGGGCCAAGTAGCAGAACGAAAACATGGGAGGGGCCGCTCCTGGGACCCTGGTACTGCAGAGAGCAGCCCTGAGCTCCGAAAGTTGGCTCTGAGTGGAGCCCGCCCAGAGCCAACTTGGCTGTGGCTTTCTGCCTCCTCAGGGCCACTCAGCGTCCCCCATCCTGGGGGGTCCTGCTTTGTCCCCTCCGTTGCTCATCTGCGTTCTTGACACCCAGCACGGGCCTGCCTGGCCTCCCTGAGCGCAGAAAGGAGGCGTCCGGGAGGACGACAGGGAGAGTGGGCCTGGGGGACTGTGAATGAGGGTCCGAGAGGAACCACGGAGGAACGAACGGGGGTCTGGGGAATGACAGGTCGGGGGCAGGTGCGTCGCGGCTACAGGGGAAAGGAGGTGTCAGGGCGGTAGGTGCGAGGGCACTGGGTATAAGGGGTGGGACGGCGGGAGAGTGGGAGGGGAGCGCGCGTGCTCCCCTCCCGCGAAGCCAAGTGGTCACGTGGCAAACGCGGGCGGAGGCTGGCATGGGCGTGGCGAGTGCGGATGACGCAGCCTGGGCGTGGCCATGACTGAGTGGGCGTGGTCATGACGACATGGGCGTGGCCATGACTGCGCGGGCGTGGCGGGCGTGGGCGGAGACTGGTGTGGGTGTAGCCAGGCGGGCGTGGGCGTGGCCGGGCCGGGCGCGCGGGCGGCCGCTCGGGCGGCGCGGGAGGAAGTCACGTGGCGCGCGCTCACATGACCGGCGGCGCGATGGACCCGCTGCCCGCCGCGGCGGGTGAGGCAGACGCCGGCGGAGAGGGAGGTCCGGCCGCGGCAGGTACGCTGGGCGCCCCCGGGCTCACGCGCGGCGTCCCGCGGCCGTGGACTGTCCGCGCCCCGCGCCCGCCACCCCGTCTTCCTGCTGTGCCCGCCCGGGATCCGCGTGCCCCGCGCCGGCCTGGGTGGGCGGCTTCTGGGGCAGCGGCCGACGGGACGTGAGGTCCACGGGGAGTCGGGAGGTGGGGCCGCTGACCGCCGAGGCTGTTACCGTCCCGGCCACCCGGGGTCCTGCAGCCCTGGAGTGGGGGGGGCCCCCCTCTTCTCCCCGAGGAGGCTGGAGACCCCCAGGGTCACCCAAGGGCCTCGCTGGGGACAGGAGTGATTCGCCTGACCCGGCCCGAGCCTGTGACGGGGACCCCGCGGCGGGCTGTTCGGTGCTTTGGGGGGCTGCACCGGGAGGGCGTCCCCCCAGCTCCAGGCAGGGCTCCTTGTCCTTGCGCCGCGGGGATGGGACCCCGACCTCACAGCCGTATACGGGGCGCCTGAGACCCCCCGACCCCCACCCCCCCGGGTCTTCTCTCAAGGGACTGACCCCTGCCTGCTCAGTCCCTGCGCCACCGCCTGGACCCCTGAGTATGGAGCCAGGAGTAAGCGCTGGGCGCTGCCAGGTTGGCCCAGGTCCTCCTCCCCCACTTATAAAAAGTTGAAAACCCAGAGGTGTAGGGCGTTTCTATAGACATAAAAAGTTTCCCGGGTTTTCAGAAGCTGCTCTGGGTTTTTGTTTCAATATCCCTCAGGCATCGTTCTGCTGGGGCTAACCCGTGTGGACGGGCTATGCCCTCCTTTGCTGGCCGCCTGCCCTGCCCGTTCTCTTGGCTGCCCCGAGGGTCCACTGATCCGCACTTGGTTGGTACCCGGACTCTTCAGAGTGAAACACCACGCGTGCTGACAGTTGCCGTGGCCGGGTCATGTGCTCCCCTGGCCCAGAGTGCTAGTGCCTCCGGACCCACGGGCCAGAGGCCCAGGTCTCCTGGCCGCAAGTGCTACTTCGGTGGATTTGTTTTTGAGGACTTTCGGGCTTTATTGGCCGTGCTGGGGCGCCATGTAGTCCCAGGGCTAGGTGGGTCGGCTACACTCAGGGTCTGTGCGCTCTCCCCAGCCTGTAAGTACGGTGTTAGGCTACTTCCGACTTAGAAGAATCAAGAAAATCAAAAATCTATGTTTTCTTATCTGTTGGTGAGGTTTTGTTTGTTTCTTTCTTTATTTTTTTGGTCACACCCAGTGATGCTCAGGGATTACTCCTGGCTCTGCACTCAGGAATCAGGAATTACCCCTGGCGGTGCTCAGGGCACCCTATGGGATGCTGGGAATAGAACCTGGGTTGGTTGCGTGCAAGGCAACCGCCCTACCCGCTGTGCTGTTGCTCCAGCCCCCTCGTCTCGAGCTGTTTTCTCTTCTCCAAGTCTGGCAGCCCTTTCTCCTGTTTTCTTGTGGAATTGCTGCTTTATTCCTTGTTGCGGGGCAGCCCTTCATGGGTTGGAATCTGAAGCAATAACTTTCATTGATGGTGCTCAATTCTTCCCCAAAGAAACAGGGTAGTTTATTTCTGTGTGGAGCTGAGGCCTGAGAGGGGTCACTGCGTGCTACCCGGCCCCGCCCTGGTCTGCAGCATTCCAGACATTCCCCTGGCGGGAAGGGACCTCACACCATTCTCGAAGCTGCCCCTGGGGTCTTCTGGCTTCCCCATCCTCAGCCGGCCTGTGTCTGGGGCCAGAATTCACTGACTGTCACCTTCAGAGTGCTGTTCCTGTCCCCTCTGCTGGGTCGCTGGCTGGAGCTGCTGCTTGGTGAGGCCTGAATGTTTGTCAGCAGAGCACATGGTGGGGGTCACCTCAGAACTTGATAACTGTGGAATTTGGTAGCTGTGAACATATTTGAGATATTGGCCTTTAAACTCTGCTCCTTGTCGCTCACACTCAACACAGTTTGCAGGGTAAGAAGTGTCGTTTTGAGAAAGAGGAACTTCCTGAATAGTTGTTCCGTGGAACAGATATCACCAGGACCTGTGGTTAGCAAAAAAGTGACGTTAGGTGGGGGAATTCTGTTTGAGAGTATTTTCCTCCCAAGAGAACTGTAGTACGAAATGAGCTGCTTGAAGTGTTTGCTCCGGTGTGGGGCTGGGGGGGGCGATTTGGGGGTGTCAGGGTGTATGGGAGGGGAGAGATTGGGGCAGGCAGGGGTGTCATGGTGTGTGTGGGGGAGGTTGGGGGAGGGGGGTGTCAGGGTGTGTGGGAGGGGGAGCCGGACCAGGTGGGGGTGTCGGTGTGTGGGAGGGGGGAGGCTAGGGATCAGGGTGTGGGGTCTGTGCCCAGCCACTGCTTCCCTGGGAAGCTGTGAGCACCCTCGTGGCTCAGTATGGTGGTGGTGGTGGTGGGGGGGGGCGGGGATCAGGACCGGCCAAGCCAGCTGTGTGCTGCCCGCCCTTGACTCAGGGTACCCCACTGTGCTTCGTGCATGCATGAAGTGCTCAGGACTGAAATGTGGTGTTTTCCCGAGACTGATTCCTCGGGAGTGCGGAGTCTGGGCGGTGTCCTGCAGGAAGGGCCCTTCTGCTCCGGACTGACCTTTGCCTAGACCAGAGTAGAGGTTCTTTACCCTTTGGTGAGGGCTGAGGCTGCTGACCCAGCACGGGGCTGGTGCAGAACCTGCCCAGTGAGGCAGAGGTGGGGATGTGCCTGCAGGTGGGAACACTCAGTGCCCAGCCAGAAGCCTGCCCTGACATCAGGCTCACCACACGCCTGGGATCGTGTGCGGGGTGGGGTGGGGTGGGGGCGTCCCGGAGGCGGAGGGCTTGCCTGTGTTACCTGGATGTCTGCCATTGGGTTTTGTTGCACACACCGGCAGGTCTCAGGAGCTTAGTTAGAGTCGACTCCTGCTTCTGCTGGCTTTACTCTCCGGGTACTTACCAAAAGTCGGGATGTTAGTGTACTCAGAGATGCAGGGTCCTGCATGTGGGCTTCACTTTTTTTTTTTTACATTTTTGGGTCACACCCAGTACTCCTGGCAGTGCTCGGGGACCATGTGGGATGCCAGGGATCGAACCCGGGCCATGTGCAAGACAAACCTCCTCCCGTTGTGCTATCACTCCAGCCCAGTGGGTGTCACTCTTGTGGCCCTGGCACCAGCAAGAAGGAGTGCGGCTCCTGGGACTGGCTGTGCTTTGCAGCAGGTGCCCAAGCCGGTGCTGGGCAGGGAAGGAGCAGCGATGGGTTTATAGCTCTGCCGGGTTAATTATCTTCAGGCTGACACTCAGTTCAGCGAGGGACCTTCAGAGCATCCATGTTGCTGCAGGAGTTTTGCTCCAAAGGGCAACTTGAAGTTGCAGTTTCAGCCCTCGGGCATGAGGAAGGACTGTGCAGTGGTTCCTTATCTGGGGTCACATGTGGCAGCCCCCTCCCCCAGGAGGAATGTACGGCCAGGTGTGACCCCCTCCCCCAGGTGGAATGTGTGAACGGGCGGGGTCTTCTCTGCAGCCCCTCGGTGCCCTCAGCCTTCAGGGTCTGCTGTTCCGGGTCGCTTGCTGCGGATGACAGGTGAGGAAGCTGAGGTAGAAGTGTGCTGGAGAGGCCTGACCCTCCCTCGGCAGGGCGTGCTCGGACTGGTGCTCCCAGGCCCCATCTCCTAGGAGGATGTCTGGGCCGCAGATCCCTGTGATGCACAGCTCTTACCATGGACTTGAATGGCCCTGGGGTTGCCAGCGCCCAGCAGCAGAGTTCCTTCACCTGCGGGCGATGTTTGCTCGGGCACAGTGACGCCCCGAGAACCAGCTTGCGAGAGACTCTCCTGGCTGGCCCACCCTGTCCCTCCAAAATTCTCAGCTGCAGAGACTGTCTTCTCTGTGGGTCCCTCTGCAGATCCACAGGACCTGTTCCCCTGAGCTGCTGCTAGGTGGCTTGCGGCTGCCTTCTGGAGGGAGCCTGTGGAGCTGGGCATCTATTTTGGGATATTTTCACTTTCTTGTCAAGAGATCCTAGAAAACTTGAGTCACTTTGAGAGGAAACCAGCCAGTGCCGGGCGGAGGGCGGGTTCGTGGACACGTGTGCAGGGCTGGGTTCAGCTCCAGAGCCGCGGGCGCCTCTGGCAGGCAGCTCTAGGCACTGGCCTGTGGCTTGTGGCTAGGACTCCTCTGAAGGTCAGTCTGGACTTCCTAAGTCAGTGAGGAGGGGGTTCCCTCAGAAGCCAGAAAGAAATCACAGGGCTTGGTCTGTGAGTTCTCCGGAAGCTGCCCAGGTGTCTCCTCAGGGAGAAGCCGCTGTAGCTAGACATGGTGTATGTCCTGGTTTGTCCACGATGGGTAGTCGCTCTCCTGCAGGAGCTGGCTGCTGATACTGTGTGGGTATTCCTGGCTGTTGCATCCTGTGCAAGTGTTCCCAGCTGTTCCAGCCTGTGCGGCTGTTCCCGGCTGTTGCATCCAGTGCGGGTGTTCCTAGCTGTTGCATACTGTGCGGCTGTTCCATGCATGTTCCTGAGCATCCCGAGATGAGGAGAGGAAGCCTGAGTTTCCCCTTCTGAGAGCAGCTGCCCTGGGACCCTCATCTGGACGGCCCTGGGTCTGTTGGTGGCCGCTCAGTGTGAGTTGTGCTCTGATGCCTTGCTGCTCCCTTCTGATGGCCACGCCAAATATTTGTCCCCTCTGCTGCCTGTCATCAGTTGCAGCATCACCTGGAGCTTTGTTGTAGGTTGTAGGGCCCACACCTACTGGGGGCCTAGGACTACTGGTACCAACGGTGAGGGGCAGCATGCCCTGGGGTCACCTGCTGACCCCATTGTGGCTGGGGAGCTTGTGAACAGTCCCTTTGTCAGCTGCTAAGGGGCTAAGCACGGGCTTTGGGTTTTTTTTTTTTTTGAGGGGGAGGCCACACTTGGTGGTGCTCAGGGGTCACTCCGGTGGCTTGGGGAACCATACGGAGGGCTAGGGGTTGAACCTGTGTCAGCCTCAGACAAGGCCAGTGCCTTACCTGCTTCACGAAGGCTCTGGCTCTTGAGCATGAGCTTTGTATGCCAGAGACCCCATTCCAACTCCATCACTGCATGGTTAGCCGAGCACCCCACAAACCTCGTTTCCCACTTCCTCCTTACCCTCTTCCCCTCCCCCCTCTTAATCGTCAGTATTTGAACAAGCAAGCTCATTTGCAAGAAATTTTGTTTTGGCTTTTGGGTTACACCCAGCTGTGCTCAGGGCTCCTGGCTCTGTGCTCAGGGGACTGCCTGTGGTGCCGGAGATTGAACCCAGGTGGGCTGTATGCAAGGCAAGCTCCTTACCCGCTGTACTATTGCTCTGGCCCACAGTATTAACTTGTTTTAAGTATTAGCAAAACTGTGATGGTTAGCACACGATGACCCAGAGAAATAGCATAGTGGGGAGGGCATTTGCCTCCCTTGTGGTCCACCCACGTAAGAGTCTCAGCACCTGGCACAGGTTCCTGAGCTTAATCAGTAGTAAGCGCTGAGTGCTGCCAGGTGTGGGCCCTCTCAGTTAAAGTTCTCAAGGAGATTTTTTTTTTGGGGGGGGGAGTCACACCTGGCGATGCTTAGGGGTTATTCCTGGCTTTGCACTCAGGGACTACACCTAGTGGTGCTCAGGGGATCATAGGGGATGCTGAAGATCGAATCTGGGTCGGCCGCGTGCAAGGCAAATGCTCTCATCACTGTACTGTCGCTTTGGCTGCTCTGAGGTGGTGTGACCCTTGGCACCATAGTTTCTTGAGGCCACCAGGAGTAATCCCGGTGTATAGAGCCAGGAGTCAGCCCTGAGCACCTCCCAAAACTACTCCAAAACAAAGCAAAAATGTTAGGGAGGATCCAGAGAGATAACTCAGTGTTAGGCATGTGCTTTGGGAAGAGAGTGTGTTCTAGCTCTGGTGCTTAGAAGCAGAAGTGGGGAGAGGCCAGAGCCATAGTGCAGCGGGTAGGATGCTTGCTCTGCACATGGTCTACCCCTTTTTGGGCACCCCACATGCCCTCCTGAGTGCCACCTGAGTGCAGAGCCTGGAGTTATACGTGAGCATTGCTGGGTGTGGCCCCAAACCAAAACAAGCGTGTAGCACGGTGCCAGGACCAGTTTCATTATTTTTATTTTTGTTTATGAGTGGTGCTCAGGGGTCGCTCTCAGCAGTGGTCATGGGACTACTCTGCCGTGTTAGGGATCAAACTCAGGTCTCCTTGCATGCAGAACCTGCACCCTTGCCCACTGAGCTAGCGTCCCAGCACCGAGAATCTTAATCTCTCCCTCAAGGAGCCTTGTTACAAGTCCCCTCTCCTCTCCTGTCTTCAGGCTTTGTCTCTGCCTCTTCCTTAGGCTGTGGCTGGCTCCCAGTGCCTGCTAAGGACTGTAGTGTGTTTTCTTGTCTCTGTTCACTGGCTCCTGGGAGCTCCCGGGTGCAGTCCAACTTCCCCTTCCCTTTATATGCAGCGGGAAGGGCGCTGGTCTGTTATGTCACCATTCTTTGGATTGGGGAGATGGCTTGAAGGGCTGATAGGCATGTGGGAGCTACTTCATGGTACTTAGCAGCAAACCAAGAGCCGCTGAGCATGGCCAGATGTGGGCCGCCGTCCCCCCCTTGCAAAACATTCAGCAGGGCGAGGAGATGCTTTAAAGGGTGGAGTATGCACTTGCCGAATTCAAGTCCCAGCCCTGCATGGTTCCCCAGCACCACCACAGGGCCGGTGCCCACCCCTCACCCCAAAGAAAATTCAGCAGTTTTTGGATTTTTGAACGTGTCCCCTCCTGGCTCGCGGGGTAAGCAACAGAGCCCAACATGTCTTACTGTGTTCACACACATGGTCCTTGGTAGTGTGGGGATGCAGCGGTTTGTACCGGGAGGGGAGGTGGGCAGCCACTTTGCTTTAGCTCTTGTTTTTGGAGCCGCAACAATTACCCCTTTTAATGAGCCCCAGCTCTGTTCTGATTGGAGCCTCCGCACCGGCTTGGTTCTGATGGGGCGTCTGGGCGCCAGCTCTGTTCTGATTGGGTGTCCCAGCACCAGCTCCGTTCTGATTGGAGCCTCTGCACCAGCTCTGTTCTCATTGGCTCTCCCAGGTTATAGCATGCGGGGCTGACATCCTTTCTCTGATGGTCAGGGACGCAGAGCAGCCGGCAGCCCGTGTTTGTCCTCTTTGAAGAAAGGTCAGGTCCTTATCCCACTTTTAAGTTGGGTTGTTGCGCATTTTACTTAGTTTTAGGAGCCTTTATTCAAGTACTGATAACAGGTTACGAGCATTTCTGTTCATGGAAATGTCCTCGCTCCCTGTTTAGCCCTATTTCCTGTTTTTCTGTGGATTTCATGGGCGTTAGATAAGACTTGGCTTTTCCTTGAGTTACTTTGCTGCTCCTCCTGAAGCTAGAGCAGAGGTCACGGAGGCTTGGCAAGAGCTCCTGGCTGCCCTGTCCTGTCTCCCTCTCCCTCAGGAGCTGTGGGGGCGTCACAGTGCAAACCCCTCACTCCCCAGGCAAGGTGCTTAGTGCCAGGCCTGCTTGGGGGGGTCACACGTTTGCAGACCAAAGCTAACTAAGCTCCTGAGGACCAGGAGCATTCCAATGTGTGTCTTTGGGACAGCTGTGTCCACAGCAGGCAGGTTTTGGGGATGTGGGGGGAAACATGCATCTTCTAGAGCTGGTATTGGTGTGTCCAGATATTGGGGGCCCCCCCTCACTCGCCCCCTTTATATGCGCTCACTCGTAGGTTCCCCCCACCTCGACACAAACACACAGACTCACAGCCTGGTGCCCAGAGATTCGGTCATGTTCATGCTCACAGACTTGCCTCACACGTGCACTCACACATACTCATGCATTTACACCACTCAAATATGCTCACACATCACTCTTGTACTCACATTCACACACACGCACACATACTCACTGTCGCACTCACCCCCTCCCTTATGTACTTATGTCCCTGCACTCAGGCATTGGGCTCTGCATGCCTCATGTGACCAGTCTTGCACCGAGGACTTGTTAGATGGAGTGGGCGTAACTGTGGCAGACCGGGCAGGAGTCCCCAGGGCTGTGAGAGCACTGCACTCGGTGTGTGGGGCAGCTGGAGTTCAGGGTGCGGCTCTGAAGGAAAGACCAGGAACCCCAGCTGTAGGCAGACATGGGGGTGCGCTCAGGGTTGAGCAGGGCACTGGGCGTGAAGCACGGATGCCCAGGCAGGGTGCCAGGGCTGTGCGGTGTGGACATATTAGTGTGCAGTGTGGGCTTGTGACGCTCTACTGCTGAGAAGTGAGAGGATTGTAGACAGTTTTGTGGCCTGTACCCGTCTCTGGGGGAGAGGACAGGGATGCTGGCGGAGGACTCCTCCCGGGTGAAGGAGTGCAAGGGCCCCGCATGCTGGCTGTCGGGGGTAGTGGGACCCTGGCACCCTGAACTCTCAGATGAAGGGTCAGCTGTGTGGCCCTCAGGATAGAGCTGATGGTGGCACATGGCCGAGTCCTGGTGCCGCCCCAGTGGGGTGGAGGGCTGAGTGGGGGTGCTCTGTGTTCCAGAACTCTCACTGGTCTCCCCTCCTCCCTGCAGACGTGCCTGTGCCCCCCGTTGGCGAGCGGAGGGAGCTGGAGCCCAGGCAGATGCAGGGGCCACAGGGGAACCCGCTGCTGCTGTCGGCCTCGCTGCAGGAGCTGTTGGCCAGGGACACGGTGCAGGTGGAGCTCATTCCTGAGAAGAAGGGGCTTTTCCTCAAGCACGTGGAATACCAGGTGGCCAGCCAGGTACTGGGCGCAGCCACTGTGCTCCCTGGGACAGAGGCTCTGGGACCCCATCATCTGCTGGGGACTTAGTGATGGGGAGGTCCCTGGGGACCAGACTGGGGTCCAGATCCAGACTTGTTCACAGGCCAGTCTGGGAAGGTCTGGCCCCTTTAAGGACACGTCCTTCTTGCCGGGGGCACCCTAGCACGGGAGTCAGTTGGGATGGGGGAGAGCTATGAGGGGCATTGATTCTGGGGTTGTTTCCTGTCCGGGGAGAGAAGGCAGCATACCCAACACATCGATTCAGATGATCAGTACAGGTATTGGGGCACTGCAGTGCTTTGGCGGGCACTTCCCGTCCTGGGGGTCTGCCTGCAGGTGGTGATGGTAGGGTCAGTGGGACACAGGCTATGGGGCTTCCAGGTGGCGGTGCCTCAGACACTGCATGAGGTGTGTTTGTGCTGTGTGCGTGCATGTGTTTGTGTGAGCACATGTGTTGATGGGTGTGTATGTCCAGAAGGGCTTTGCCCACGGGTGGCGCTGAGGGGTGCGGGGCTGCAGCAGGGACAGCACCCTTAGCGGCTGGGGCTGCAGGGGCTGCAGGGGCTTCCTGGGTGGCTCATGCAACTTGAGGCCCTGGGTCTGTGTCTGCAGAATTTAGTGGGATTTGGGTTTTGGGTGCAGCCTGTGCCAGAGCTCGGCCCGCTGCTGGTGTTTCGCATGTGCCACTAGAAGGCCCTTGAGTGGATGGAAGGTGATGGCCACGGGAAGAGTGGACGGGTGGGTATGTGGCCTGCTGGCCTCCCTCCTGGTGTGACCCAGCGTGACCGTCAGAAAGCCACAGATGGTCAAGAAGGTGTTGAAGCATGGACTCCCACCTTTGCAGTGGACCTGGGAGTGAGCCTGGCCTCTGCTGGAAGGCTCGCGGGTCTGTAGGGTCTTGGCGGGTGCCGGTTCCCGGCAGGCTCAGTGCCCCTCTGCCCTGCAGCGCTTCAAGTCCTCGGTATACAGACGCTACAATGACTTCGTGGTCCTCCATGAGATGCTGCTCCACAAGTTTCCGTACCGCATGGTGCCAGCCCTCCCGCCCAAGAGGGTGCTGGGAGGTGAGTGGGGCCTGTGGGGAGGCTCAGCACCCAGGTCTGGCCAGCTCAGGCGCGGCTGCCCCAAGGCCCCTCAGCACTATTCTGCAGAGGCCTGGAGCTCTGTTGGGATGAGCTTGAGGTTGCTGCATATGGGAGGGGTTGACCCTACCTTCTTGAGGTGATATCAGCAGTCGGGTGTCTGCCTGCCAGGGCCCTCTGCAGTTCCCACGGGCGGTGGGAGGTGGGGTGAGGGTGCTCTGTCTGGGCTTGACACTTGGGCCTGTGCTGAGACTGCCTGTGGACGGGTCCCTCGTGCTCTCTGATGGACTCAAGACACCGGACAAGCTCCTCCTGGTCTGAGGTGGAACCTCCCTTTCGGGTGTCATCTGAGAGGGATTGGGGATGCGGGAACACACAGAGGCCTCCCGTGTCAGCATGTCTGCCTATACACAGGCCAACCTCCCTGGTGCTGTTTGGGGCCCGACAACCCCCCTGGACAGCACTGCACTGATGGAGCCAGCTGGTCAGTGGCTTGCAGCCATGGTGTTGCCTGGAGCCTGAGGTGCTGGGACCCCCAGGCCCACCCCTGGTTCTTGGGGCTCCCAGGCCATAGTAGTGGTGTTGCTCAGGGGGCCATGTAATGCTAGGGCTCAAGCAGGGTGGGGTGCATGTACACTCCAGGAACCCCCAAATCATCCCAATACAAAGACTTTAGGGTGGGGGTGGGGCACGCCAGGCGGGGGTCTTGTCAGGTCTGCGGCTGCATGGGCTGGACCTCTCTCAGACCAGGGAGCCCCACTGAGCTCACCTTTTGGAGCAGTGGTCCGGCAGGGCATCAGCAGGAGCCCAGGTGCTGCGGGGTTGGTTCTGCTTAGTTCGTATTGGGCCCACTGACTGCTGCTGACCCGACACCCTGGCCCACTTGTGGGTGTTGATGCACTGTCTGCAGCCGACAGGGAGTTCATCGAGGCCCGGAGGAGAGCGCTGAAGCGCTTCATTAACCTGGTGGCGCGGCACCCCCGTTTCGCCGATGACACACTGCTCAAACTCTTCCTGGGCTTCAGTGGCTCCGTGAGTACGTCCCAGCTGCCTCGGTCTGCAGCCCCCCTGGCTGGGCTTTGCAGGATGGGGGGGGGGGGGTGGGTGTTGAGAGCCCCCGTTCGTGCTCTGCTGGGTTCCTGTGTGTGCCAGGATTGGGGGTCGCGGGAGCCCCAGAGAAGCCATTGCATGGGTCCCCAGAGCACAGCTGGGGCCACACAGCTCCCACGGAGTATTGCATCCACGATGTCCCCAGCCCCGAGTGGCCCCTGCAGAGCTGCCTGGTGGGAGTCTGGGCCCAGCCAGGCCTGACCTGCCGGAGGCGTCCCTAGCCGCGCCTCCCGTTGCTGTGACAACAGCACTCTTTGTCCGGGCAGTGCTCCAAGCAGTGCTCAGGGGTCTGGGGCTGGGTGGTACTTGGACAGCAGGGTCAGACAGTTCCATGCTCCCACCTGGCCTAGACTGCCCAGCTGCCTGCACCCTTGCAGAGGGGTGGGGGTGCGGGCCATCCTGTGCTCTGGCTCCGCCTTCCCTGGCTTCCCGCACTCACCCATCCTTTGATCAGTGACTGTGGGGTGTGAGGACTGGAAGCTCTTGACTTCCTGACTGGGGAGTGGCAGCATGGGGGGCTCTGCCCAGGTTTCAATGGCCCCGGGGGTCTTTTCCTAGGGCTGGGCTGTCAGAGGACGATGGGGGAGTCCAGGAGCCCCCCCCCCCGGCACAGGCTCCAGGGTGCTTCCTGAGGGCCGTGCCACATCACTGCACCGCCTCCCCCCTCCCCTGAGCTGGGGTTTGGGGTTTGTGGTGGTCTGCCAGGCCATCTGGTTGGTGCAGTAGGTCCTGGAATTTCGGGTTCACAGTGGGCATAGGGTCAGTGGCTCGTTGCCCTGTGCAGGATGTGCAGAACAAACTCAAAGAGTCTGCGCAGACCGTCGGAGACGAATTCCTGAACTGCAAATTGGCCTCCCGCGCCAAGGTACCCATATGCCGCCTCCCTCTACTGGTCACTGTCTGGTTTGCCTCTCTCATGCCCAGCTGTTGGGGATGGGATCTGGGTTGGCCACAGGTAAAGCAGGCGCCCTACCCACACTACTCTCTGTCCAGCTCCTTCACTGAAAGGGGTTTTGTGGGCCGTACCTGGCGGTGCTCAGGGAGTACTCCTGACTTGGTGCTTGGAACCATAAGGGGCTGTGGGGCCAGAACCGGCCTGTGCTTGCCAGGCGGGAGTGAGTAGGGCTGCAGCAGCCCCTGCTCTCAGCTGTGCACTTGCACCCCCAGCATGGGTTTGTGTGGGCCGCCAGCCCCATCTGGCCTCCCAGCGGCACCCCGCTTGCTCAGGTCCCCTTGGCCACGTCACTCGTGTTCTGTCCTGGGCTGTCAGTTTGGGGTTTGTTTCTGCTTTGGTGGCACTGGGGTGGGTGTCAAGGGGGTTGTGCCTCTGCAGGATCCTTCTGGCTTCGGGTGTCGCCTGCCTGTTGGGTCGGGGCCTTGTGGGAACCTTGTCTGGGTTCTCCCTCCACCGGACAGGACTTCCTCCCTGCCGATGTGCAGGCCCAGTTTGCCGTCAGCCGGGAGCTGATCCGGAACATCTACAACAGCTTCTACAAGCTGCGTGACCGGGCTGAGCGCATGGCTACACGGGCCATCGACAGTGCCGCCGACCTCCTCATCTTTGGGAAGGAGTTAAGGTACCAGGGTTGGTGGGAGGCTTAGCTGACTGCTTCCTCGGGGGTAAACGGGTTGTCTTTAAACATTCACTGCCAGCCAGGGCCACTCATGAGGACCCAGACAGCACGGTGTGGCCCTGCCCTTCTGCACTCCACTTTCAGATCTGCCCACGGTCTGGGGCTCGCTGAGGGCCCCAGCATGGGGAGGGGCCCTGCTGTCCCCCGACACTTCCCAAGCCACTCAGAGTGGCAGAGTGCAGGCTGGGTGGACCCCGCTTCCAGCCTGAGCCTCCCGCCTGCCCTCCCCACAGTGCTTTGGGATCTGACACGACGCCGCTGCCCTCCTGGGCCACCCAGCACAGCAGCACCTGGAGCTCCCTGAAGCAGGCCCTCCGAGGCCTGTCCGTGGAGTTTGCGCTTCTCGCCGACAAGGCTGCGGAGCAGGTGAGCCTCCTGCCTTGTGCAGAGCCTGTAGCGTCCACAGGGCCCTGCTGCTCAGGGCTGTCCTGGCTTCTCGGACAGTGCCACAGCTGGGGTCCGCATGTCCACGCCACCTGCGCAGGGCACGGCTTCCTGTTGTCAGCAGCACTTCCCTGAGTGGGGGGGTGGGGGGAGAGGGTGTGTGTGTATGTGTGTGGGCAGGGCCTGGGGAAGGAAGCCAGGCGGTGATAGCAGGTGGCCCCAAGTCAGCCAAGCGTCAAGGCTGGGGGCTGCAGGAAGCCCTTGGGAGGGGCCTTTCCGGCTCTATCGGGCGGCTCTCGGCAGGTCAGTGTGCTCGCCTTGGTTGCAGGGAAGACAGGAGGAAAACGACGTGGTGGAGAAGCTGAACCTCTTCCTGGATTTGCTCCAGTCCTACAGAGTGAGTCTGGTTGGGCCTCGGCCAGGGCAGCACTTTGGACAAGTTCTGAGGGGCTTCTGAGCCTCCATCCAGGCAGAGAGCAGGGAGGGCCGACGGGGAGGGGGGCGGGTGTGTGGCCTGGGGAGAAACCTGGGGCTGTCTGAGCTGTGCAAGCGGGAATGCAGGGTCATGAGGAGCCTGTGAGTGGAGGGTGGGCGCGAGTACCTGGGCCTGCCTCAGTTTATCTGGGGGTTAGTGCACGGGTACCAATGTATGAGCACTTCTCGGGTGCCTGTGCACGCATGTGAGAATCAGTGTGACTGAGCGGGAGGGTCGGAGGGGGGACACCCAGCTTGCGAGAGAGACGGGTTAGGGCTCTGTGGGACCCCTGGCAGATGCTGCTGGACCCTCTTCCAGACTCAGGATGGCCAGCGAGGTCCTGGCCACTGGATGTGTGCTGCTTCGTCCTGGTGCTTTCTTTAGGGGGGGTGGGGGGAGGGACGGCTGCTAGGGAGCAGTGAGGTCTGACCGTCCAGTGCTGGGCTTAGAGCTGCGGTGGTGCTTGGGGACTGGCCTCAGCGCTCTGTGTGCGGGGAGGCCAGTGGGGAGCAGACGAGCAGCCAGTGACTCTGCCCCTAGGACCTGTGTGAGCGGCACGAGCGGGGCGTGCTGCACAAGCACCAGCGCGCCCTGCACAGGTACGGCCTGATGCGCAGGCAGATGCTGAGCGCCGCCGTGCAGAGCCGCGAGCCCCAGTCGGTGGAGCAGCTCGAGTCGCACATCGTGGAGGTACCTTGCTGCCGGGGTGGGCCCCTGCTCCGCGGCCCTGCTGTGCCTCCTGCCGGCCAGAGCCGGAGGTGCAGCCGCTATCTATCTCTGCAGCAGGAGAGCGCGATCCACACCATGGAGCTTCGGAACCACTTCTCCCTGTACTGCCTGCACCAGGAGACGCAGCTGGTGCACGCCTACCTGCCGCTCACCTCCCACATCCTCGGTGCCTTTGTCAACTCGCAGATCCAGGGCCACAGGGAGGTGGGTCAGCTGAGCAGTGGTCATCCCTGTGCCCGCTAGCTGCAGTGCCAGGCGGTCACGGGACAGTGTCTGTCTCAAGGGGTCCTGGGGGAACGTCCTGGGAACTGAGAAGACAGCGGGTGGTCAGTGGAGGTAGGGGACACTCCTCACTGAGAAGGCCTGGCCACATCGGAGCCACATAGCTCCTGTGTGTGAGGTCGCGTGTCTCAGCCCCCACCCCACAGCCATTGCTGCTCACATGGGGTGCGGGCTCAGGCCTCCATAAGCCTGTCCCAGAATCCAGGTGCTCTGCGTTGTCTCGAGCCCTGTGGCACCACGTTCCTCCCATGTCAGGGACCCTGTGTGTTGAGCTGGCCCACCCTGGACTGCAGCTGCCCTCCCAGGGAGGTGGGGTGCAGCCGTCTGGCCTTTCCAGTTGGGCTGCTCCGAGCCCGGCTCTGCAGGAAGGCCAGAGCTGGCTCCCGGTCCCCTCACTGTCCTTCCTTCTTCCCCGCAGATGAGCAAGGTGTGGAATGACCTGAAGCCTAAGCTCAGCTGCCTCTTCGCTGGACCACACAGTGCCCTGACCCCACCCAGCTCCCCACAGGACGGCCCAGTCCCTCACTAGGCCCGGGTGCAGGGGCCATGCAGTGGCCTGACCCCGCCCAGCTCCCCGCAGGACGGATGACTGCTCACTGATGCCTTCTTCCAAGCTGGTGTCCCTGTGTAGTTCCTGCAGCTGGCTGCAGCCCCACACCAGGTGCTGCCCGCCATGCACACAGAGGCCATGAGAGTATGGTGCTGAGTGCAGGGACGGGGGAGGCGGGGCTGCATGGGCTCCCCGAACTCTGCTCGGCTCTGCCAGCCCCCACTCCAGGCAGACATCGCCTCCCTGTCTGGGTGTTGTAGGGGATGGGATTCTGGTGTCATGAGCCCGAGAGCAGTGTGGGCTCCGCGGGGTGGGTGCCTCCCATGGGCCCCGCCTGCCTGTGCTCTGGAACCTCAGCAGAGGGGTTCTCCGTGGTTTGCCCAGCACGGGGCTCTGAGCTAGAAAGGGCATCCCGGCCCCTCTGTCCAGCCCCCCGGCACAGCAGACACTGCCCCTGACTACCTGTGGGGCTCCCGCCCGCCCCAGGGAGATGGCACGTGCCGGAGTTCTTCCATCTGTCCTGTACTTACTTTCTCATGGCCATGCTTGACCTGGCTGCCAGGCCGTCTGTGGGACCACGCCATCCTTGGCAGGAAGCACTTTACAGGGCTGCAGATGACTCACTAAACTGGAATTGTTTACACACCATCTCCACCCTGAGAGTTTTATTTAGAAACTTTCATGCATAACTGTTATTAAACACATTTATAGAACTGGGTGCGGCATGCGCTCTTTGTGGGCGCCGACAACCGCTTCCTCAGGCACCAGTGGCTTCTTGGGAGGAATGGCGGAATGGCAACTGTCCTGCCTCAGTTTCCCCTGCTGTAAGGGGAGAAACCATGAGGAGGTGGGAGAGAACGAACCCTCAGCCCCTTCCAGGATTCAGCAGAACTGTCCCCTCTGCCTGCCGTAACCAGCAGGTGTGGCGCTCAGAGCGTGTCCACCTCGCACAGCTTGTAGTCCACAATGGTGCTGTGTCCCTGGAACTTAAAGTATCCCTGGAACTTCCTCTTCTGGAGCACAAGGGGGAACCAGAGCTTGTCGTCTGGCCACATGTCCTTGAAGGGGAGCTGGTCCTGGTGGAACCACTGGGGCCGCATTTCTGCAGTGGAACAAAGGCCCATGTCAGCACGGCAGCAGCCCTGCTGGGGACATTGTCCACGGAGGCGCTGCAGTGCCCAAGCTGCAGCTCCGGACCCTGTTGGCATGGGGAGAGGCCAGCCGGGCGCAGACACTGACCTTCGCTTTCCATCGGTGTGCCGTGGACAGTGTCCGCACGGAAGATGTGCACGTCCATGAGCTCAGGGACGCCCACAAACTCGAACACAATGTGTCCAGCCTTGTGCAGCACGTCTGCGGTCAAGCTGCTCTCCTCCAGCAGCTCCCTGCAGGGACAGTCCAGGCCCCTGAAGTGCAGCTCTGGGCTCCGGGTTGTACCCCCACCCAGCCACAGTGAGCAGAACTTGATTTCCCAAAGTGTGGGAGTGGCAGCCCTGGAGGCAGTTCTGGGGCTTTGGCCTGGTGGTGGTGGTCAGGGGGGGTGTCCTCTAAGCAGCCCTCTCCTGGGAGAGGATCCGATCTGGGTAGGCAGGGCAGAGCTGTTACAGTCTGGGTGGCTGCAGGATGGGGCGGGTCCTGGACAGGAGAACTGCGGCTGCACGGGGCACACCTGGGTTCTAGAGGGGGCGGAGTTTGGAAGGAAGCGGTGGGCAGTCCCGCACGAAGGCTGGGGTGAAATATCTAGGAACTCAGCTGGCTGCCAGCCCCGCCCACGACCCTTCCGGAGGTCGGAGGTCTGGGGGCATGCAAGTGGGGACTCGGGACTCGTCTGAGTTTCCAGGACCCGGGGCGGGGGGGGTGGGGTGGGGGCGGGGGGGAAGCGCCAGCAGTTTGCGGCGCAAGTGTTCCTCTCAGGGGCACCGCTCACCCTCTCTGCTGTGTTGGGCACTGAGACTGAGCGCAAGTGGAGGGGACAGCTGGAGATGGGAGCCCGGCCCCCCCCCCCAGGCCAGAGCAGGCGCCTCCTGCCTCTCACCTCTTGGCGCCCTCCTCGATGGTCTCTCCGTCCTGCACTTTGCCCCCGAAGCCGTTCCAGAGGCCGGCCCCGAAGCCGCGCTTCTTCATGCCCAGGAGCACGCGCGGGGGCTGCAGCACCAGCACGAGGGTGTAGAGCCGGGACGGCTGCATGGCCGCTGGCCTGCGGGGAGGGCGCGCGGTCAGCCGGCTCCGGAGACCGCTGGGGCCCGACCCCGGCCCGAGCTAGGGGTGGGGTGGGGTGGGGGGGGGACCCGCCACTCACCGGAGCCCTGGCTAACGCGGGAGGGGCGCACGCGGAAGCCCGGCGCTTGCGGGGGCGGGGCCTCACCCGGAAGGGGCGGGTACTTCCGGCGCCGCGGCATGGCGGGGTGAGCGGGGTGGGCAGCCGCAGGCCGGTGCGGGTGGGCGCCTAGGGCCCGCGGTGGAGAGGGAAGGGGCCGGAGGTGCGCGAGCGGTGAGGCTGGTGTGTGCCCGGGAGCCCCCAGCCCGCCTGCAGGACTCAGAGTAGGGGACGGACCCTCGCGCGCCCTGCGGGGACGCCGCCGAACACTGCATGGACACTCCGCAGAGGGGCCCGGGCGGGTCAGGGTCAGCAGGTCCTCGGGGCCGGTGCTAGGGCCGCTGTGCAGCCTTAGGCCCTGGGGGCGGCTCGTGGCCTCTTCCGGACACCTGTCAGGTTAGGGCTTGTCCCGGTGACCTCAGGTCAACTTCGTCATTGTGAGAGATCATTCCCTTCTGAAATTCTCAGGATTTCCCGGTGGCTTTGGGGGACCGGTTTGGCCCTCACCCCTCCTTTCTGGCCGGATGTGCTCCGGTGCCCGCTCCCCTCCCTGCTGTTCCCTGCGGTGCTCAGACGCCCGCTCCTCTCTCCGCAGGCTGGGCGGTATGCTCCTCCCGTGCCGGAGGCTGCATACAGCGGTGAGTCACTGCAGGGCCCGAAGTGGCCCTGAGCACCGGTGGATCGCCCGGCAGCGGAACGACCCGTTTGTGAAGGCTGCGAAGGTGGAGAGTTACCGGTGCCGAAGTGCCTTCAAACTCCTGGAGGTGAACGAGAAGCACCGGCTCCTCTGGCCCGGCCTGCGGGTGCTGGACTGCGGGGCAGCCCCTGGCGCTTGGAGTCAGGTGTCTGTGCAGAAAGTCAACGCTGCTGCCTCAGGTGGGGCCTGAGCCAGGGCAGGAGCGGGGTGGTCGTGCCCCTTGGGGCAGCATGGCCTGTGGGGTGGCTGTTTGGTAGGGATGATGGTGATAGTGGAGGCTGGCCTTTCCCAGATGGGAGCGGAGGCAGAAAGGCCCAGTGGAAATGCAAATCTCCCCCAGAACTGTGTCCGGAAGGTGCCTTTGCTACCCGCACACGTGAGACCATGAACACTGGCTCCGTCCCTGCTTTGCTTCCCTAGGCCTGCAGCCGGGGAGGGGCGGAGGCAGCTACAAGTGGTGATGCTCAGAGCTTACTCCTGGTTCTGCACCCAGGAATCACTCCTGGTGGGCTTGGTGGGGTGGGGGTAAGGGGTTTGCATATGGGATGCTGAAGATCAAACCCAGGTTGGCTGTGTGTATGGCTAGTACTGTCCCCACTGTGCTGTGTCTCCAGCCCTTGTAGTGGAGCTGTTCTGTCACTCCATGGTGTGACATCTTCCCAGGACTCAGCCTTCTGGATCCTGAACCGAGGCCGGGGGAGCTGTTCAGGGCTCTCCACTTGGGCTCAACACATGGACTCGCCTTTTGTCTGTTTTATATTTTAGGGCCTTGCAATCATTTTAAAAGGCATATTCTTTTAATTTTTTAATTCAAATTTGGCTTCTTTTGGGCCAAACCCAGTGGTACTCGGGGCTGACTTTTTGCTCTTTGGTCAGGGGTTGTGCCCGGCACGATTTGAGGGACCTTAAAGGGTGCTGGGGATTGAACCCGGGTCGGCTGCATACAAGGCAAGCACTTTAATCCCTTTACTATCTCTGGCCTCCAAATAGATCTATTTCTGGAGGCCTCCTGGCAGTGCCGGGGGGGTCTTCAGTTCATATTCTTTGCATTGCTTGGTGCTCAGGAATCCATATGGCTCTGGGGACTGAGGAGGGCCAGGCGTGCACTTCCATCCTTGGAGCCACCTCCCAGCCCTAATCCCAGGCATTTGAATAGTCGTGTCATTTTCTACCGTAGTTTCTCAAAGGACCACACAGAGGCAACCACCCATTCTACGAAGGGACAGAGAGCTAGCACAGAGGGGAAGGCACTTCACATGCAGCGGGCTAGGTTAGATCCTCAGCATCCCATGGTCCCCTGAGCACCGCCAGGAGTGATCCGTGAGTGCAGAAGCAGGAATAACCACCGGGCATTGTCTGGTGTGGTCCCTCAGAAACAAAAACTAGCGGAATAACAACCCTCCACAGAGCCAGTCGTGGGCCTGTGATGACGTTGGAGTTGGAAGCTAGCGGTGGTTCTAGCTCTGCCTTTTACTCAGAGTGCCTTGGGATGGTTCTTGGCCTCTGGGGCCTTGGGTTTCTCAGCTGGGGCATGAAGGCCCACCCCCTTCTCATGGTGGGAAAAGGTTGGGGCCCACCTGTTTGAACAGGAGCCGTCTGTCACCTGTTGCAGGAAGGTACAGGGTACAAGCCAGTGGACACAGCCACTGTTTCCCTCTTAGATCCAAGTGCACCGGTTGGCTTTGTGCTTGGGGTAGATCTTCTTCACATCAACCCTCTGGAAGGAGCAACTTTCCTGTGCCCAGCTGATGTCACTGACCCAGGAGTCTTCCGGAGAATTCAGGAGCTGCTTCCAGGAGGAAGAGCAGATGTGATCCTGAGTGATATGGCCCCCAATGCCACTGGGATCCGGGACTTGGATCACGACAGGCTCATTAGCCTCTGCCTGTCCCTCCTGGCACTGGCTCCAGGTCTCCTGCAGCCTGGGGGCACATTCCTTTGTAAAATCTGGGCTGGCAGTCAGACGCGCTGCTTACAGAGGAGGCTGGCAGAGAACTTCCAGAGGATGCGGACTGTAAAACCCGAGGCCAGCCGGAAAGAGTCGTCTGAGGTGTACCTCCTGGCCACCCAGTACCGAGGAGGGAAGGGGCCTGTGCAGGGCTGACCTTTTTCTCCTATTCCTGCTCCTCCACTTTGCCCCCATCACACAAATGTAGCTCAAGCTCTCTGGGAAATGGCTGAGGGAGCTGAGCTGAGCTGGCCCTCTGGGGTGTAGCAGGCATGACACGCATGGAGCCTGTGTACGAGACCGGAGAGTGATGACGTGTTCAGTGCTGTGATGCCTGATCAGAAACACTCCACACCGTCTCTGTGAGGAACTTTACTGTAGGAGGCGGCCAAAAAGATGAGAGAGGGAGGAGAGAAGCTTACAAGGGCTATCTATGGCAGAGCTCACCCTGACCCTGGTCCGTCCTGGAAACAGCCTGCCTTTCCCCAGCCTGGAACTGAGCAGTTAGGAAGGTCTGAAACGCCCACGTCGGGGTTAATGTCCACCTGGCCGATGGCTCTCTGGAAACCGCCTTTCTTCCAACAGGCAGTGCTCAGCACCTTCAGAGAGGCACTGCTGTGAGTTTATGCAAGGGTTTGGGTGCTTTACTCCGCCCCCCCCGCCCCCCCCGAAATAATGTGCTACTGTAATGCTCTAAAGACCATAAAGATACATGCCAAAGGAAATCCTGTGGTGAATTTCTTTCTTTTCCTCTCCGCTGGGAACTTGGTGCAGACTTATGAAAGGATACACACTTGCGTACTAAGGGATCTTAAGACTTGAAGTGCTTGCTGAGTCTGGAGCCCAAAACTTAACCTGTGTAAGCAAGGCAAGTGCTCTATCGACCACAGCCCCACCTCTGGCACCTCACACTCTCTCGGCTTTAGGTTTTGGGCCACGCCCTTGCGCTCCTGGGGGGTCCCCGGGGCCCGAGGGACGCCAGGGATGGAGCCGGAGTCTGCGCGCGAGGCAGGCAGACTTCCCCGATTCCTTACCTTTCGTGGGGGCCCGCTGACTGGGTCGGGCCGCCCACCCCCCTCCATCCCTCTGGGAGAAAGGATTCCCGGCGCGTGGGCGGGGCTCGCCCCCGGAGGAAGCCGGGCCAGGCCAGGGTCCCTGCGCCCCACTGGACTCCCTTCGGGCTCCCGGATCCTCCTCCCGGCTTTCCCGGGCCCGGCAGTCGACGGCCTCGCGGCGCCCTTTGACTGTCCCGGCCTGCCCCGGAGCGGAACGCCGGCCCCGCCCACTTCTCGCGAGAGCGGGTCTGACGTCTCGCAACGCGCGGGCGCCGAGGAGGGAGATCCGAGCTGCGGTGAGCGGCGCGGCTGCGGGGCGGGGGGCGCGGGCGCGGGCTTGAGAGGGTGGGCGCGCGCTGGGCGGAGGGGGGGGTCTTGGGCTGAGGGGGGCGCGGGCTGAGGGGCGCGGGCTGGGGGAGGCGCGGACTGAGGGGGGCGCAGACCGAGGCAGGCTTGGGCTGAGGGGATGCGGACTGAGGGGCGCGGACTGAGGGGCGCGGACTGAGTCAGGGCGCGGGCTGAGGGGTTCGCGGGCTGAGGGGCGCGCGAGCTGAGGGGGGGCGCAGGCTGAGGGGGGCGGGTTGTGGGGGACGGGCCAAGGGGGGTGCGGACTGGGGGGTGCAGGCTGAGAGGCGCAGACTGAGGGGCGCAGGTTGAGGGGCGCGGACTGAGGGGCACAGACTGAGGGGCACGGAATGAGAGCGGCCGGTTGTGGTGGGGCGGGCTGAGAGGGTTGCGGACTGAGGGGCGCGGACTGAGGGGCGCGGGCTGAGGGGGGCGCGGGCTGAGGGGGGCACGGGCTGAGGGGCGTGGACAGAGGGCCGCGTGAGCTGAGGGAGGCGCAGGCTGAGGGGGGTGCAGACGGGGGGGGGTGCAGGCTGAGGGTATGCGGACTGTGGGGGGCGCGCTGAGGGGGTTGCGGATTGAGGGGTGCGGGCTGAGGGGCGTGGACTGAGGGGATGCGAACTGAGGGGCGTGGGCTGAGGGGGGCAGGTTATGGGGGGGTGGGTTGTGCGGGACGGGCTAAGGGGGGTGCGGGCTGAGGAGACTGGACTGGGGGGGCGTGGGCTGAGGGGATGCGGACTGAGGGGCGCTGATTGAGGGGCGTGTGGACTGAGGGGATGCGGACTGAGGGAGGCGCGGACTGAGGGGGGCGCGGACTGAGGGGGTCACGGGCTGAGAGGGTCACGGGCTGAGGGGGGGGCACGGACTGAGGGGGTCATGGGCTGCGGGCGGACTGACGGCGGGGGGCGCCGCATGAGGGCAGGCGCCTGTGGGTGCCTGCTCACCCGCACGCTGGCGCTCTGCGTGGCTGCCCGTCTCCGGATCGGGGGTGTGGCTGGGGTTTGGTCTCATGGGCGGTGCTGCGCCCCCCTCCCCCCCGCCTGTCCCGCGCCTGCCTCTCAGGCCTCTCTGTCTCCGGGCAGCTGCGGTCTGGTACCTTTGTGCCACTGATTGGGACCGGTCCGTCCCCGTATTTCCGCTCTGGGCCTCAGTCCTCTGCTCCTCTGCAGGCATGTGGAGGACAGCACTGACCTAAGGGCCACCGAAATTCTGCAACTTTTATCCAGGTGCAAGGGTTGAAACTTTCTTGTAAAATCGCGAGTAGAGTGACAGACCCTGGCATCCTTGTGCCGTAGGCCTTTAAAGTTCTTCTGGACACTGTCACCCTCTTTTGCAAAGAGGTGTCATGGTCTTTAGTTGCCGGATGGGGAAACCGAGACACCTTCTTGGTGCCCAGTCAGTACCAGATCCCTTGTTGAAGGAATCCTGCTGAAGGTGTTGTGCATGTGTCAGTGGCATTGTTAACTCGCTGGAGCAAGTGATGGGGAGCCATTGTTGTCAGCGGGCGTCTTGTGAATGCTCATGTGGTCTGTGCCACTTGCCTGCAGTGTGCCTCCTCCTGCTGTGCAGGTCAGCCTCAGCGTTGAATTGGTGGCAACTGTGTTATTTTTGCCTCCATTCTTCCCTGGTAAGTTGGCATGTGGGCTTCCCTGTCTAGCAGCCCTTCTCCATTCCGGATTGTGGTAAAAATTGCTGATTTACCAGGGTTTGTGCTCTGGGTTCCCAGGTAGCTCTGAGAACTGTGGCTATGGACCCGAATGTTTTCAAGGGCTTTGAGAGACTGGGACCTACTGCTCTAGTAGCTGGCAGAGTCGATGGCACATAGAAAGACCCTCTCTCCCTTCTTCTGTCTTCCTCCTGAAGGGCAGTGGCCATGGAAGACCTGGGGGAGAACACCACTGTGCTGTCAACTCTGAGATCATTGAACAGCTTCATTTCTCAGAGAGTGGAAGGAGGATCTGCACTTGATGGCTCTGCCTCTGCCCAAGGTTCTCTGCAAATGCAGTATCAGCAGAGCATGCAGGTGAGCGACTTATCCTGGCCTCTAGGTACAGACAGCTGCCTCAGGTCAGACCGGTTCAGGTGAGCTCCAGGTGTTTGGACAAGAGTACTCCCCTTAGAGCTGTGTCATGTTCCAAGTAGTTGGGGCTGTTCAGTGTTGTGTCAGCCTAGCGTTCAGCTGGCTGACCCCCCAGATTGGAGTTCACGGTTTTATTTTATTTTATTTTTGCTTTTTTTTGGGTCACACCCAGCAATGCACAGGGGTGATTCCTGGCTCTGCACTCAGGAATTACTCCAGACAATGCACAGGGGTTATTCCTGGCTCTACACTCAGGAATTACTCCTGGCGGTGCCCAGGGAACCATTTGGGATGCTGGGAATGATCTCAGGTTGGCTGTGTGCAAGGCAAACGCCCTACCTGCTGTGCTATTGCTCTAGCCCCAGAGTTCACGGTTTTAATAACAAGGTTGGAGGCTGTGGCTGGAGACCCTACAGTGGGTAGGGTGCTTGCCTTGTACACGCCAACCCAGGTTTGATCCCCAGCATCCCATCCCTGACCACCGCCATGAGTAATTCCTGAGTGCAGAGTCAGAAGTTACCCCTGAGCATAGCAGGATGTGGCCCAAAAACTGAAGTGGGAAAAAAAAAAAGGTTGGAAGTAGTGGTCTGATTCTCAACTGTTCTGGCTTTAAAGCCCAGTTTATCAGTATTTTCAGATCAGGTCCTGTGCCCAGTATCATATTCACAAATGAGCTCATAGTCTTGGTGTGGCCAGCCCCACTGCCGCTACATAGTAGAAAGGCAGTGTCTGAAGATGAAGACAGATTCCCCCACCTCCCGCCCCAAACTTTAACTGTGCAAGCCCTTCCAGTTTCTCTGCTTACTTTTTCTTTTTTTTCCTTTCAATTTTTGGGCCACACCTGGCAGTTCAAGGGGCTATTTTTAGCTCTATGCTGGTGGTGCTCTGGGAACCATGTGGTGCTGGGGATGGCACTTGGACCTCCTGCATACAAAGTATGCTGAGCTCTCTCTGACCACAGCATCCTTTTATTTTGTTGATACTGCTTTTGCTGCTTATGCCATTCTGCCAGGGTCTTGAGTTAAACTGGTCAGTGGTTTCTTGTTACTCTGGGAGTCCTGAGGTGAGCCATGCAATATTTGGCACCGCAGGCACTGGTGTTTATGCTCATTCATGTGCTGCATAAATTGTATTACTCCACTAGTGGGGCAAGTTGCTGCTGTTCTTTTTGTGGCAATGACTGCTTTCTGAAATTAGGTCATTTACGTGTGTGTGTGTGTGTGTGTGTGTGTAAAAAAAAACCTGTAAAAAAAACACATAGTTTTTTTTTTTTTTTTTTTTGCCATACCTGATGGTACTCAGAGCTTACTACTGGCTCTGTGCTCAGGGGTCACTCCTGGCTGTACTCAGAGACCATATGTAGTTCTGGGGATTAGGCCTGGGCTGGCTGCCAGCAAGGTAAACACCTTACCCACACCGTACTGTCTCTTTGGCCCATGTTTTGTTTTTGTTGTTAAAATACTTTTTGGAATGGTAAGAATAACATATAGTTTTTTAAATCCTTCCCTAGTGGCAAAATAACATTGCCACTTTTTAAATTTTTATTTTTTATTTCTTTGCTTTTTGGATCATACCCAGCGATGCTCAGGGGTTACTCCCAGCTCTACACTCAGGAATTACTCCTGGAGGTGCTGGGGGAACTATACGGAATGCCGGGGATTGAATCTGGGTCTGCTGTGTGCAAGGCAAATGCCCTACCTCCTGTACTATTACTCCGGCTCCACTTTTTAAATTTTTAAAACTGTTTGTTTTTTGTTATACCAGGAATGAACCCAGGGACTTGATATGTAAGACAGGAGCTCTACCACTGAGCTATATTCTGGCCCTAGAAATTGTGTCTTTTTTTTTTTTAATTGAGGGGAGTGGTCACACTCAGCAGTGCTCAGGGGTTACTGCTGGTTCAGCACTCAGGAATTATTCCTGGTGGTGCTTGAACCATATGGGATGCTGGGAATTGAACCCAGGTCAGCTGCGCTGCGTGCAAGGCAAACATCCTGCCTGCTGTAACTATAGCTCCGGCTGCTAGAAATTGTGACTTTGGTCTGAAAAAGTTTTATGATTTATTGGTGCAAATGTCTGGGAAATTTTGACCTAAATCTGTCAAAACTGTAGAGTCTGTGTTGTTATGGTCTCTAGAGGATCAGTAAAGGAGTAACAAGCAGAGCTAGCTGCTGCAGACTTGCCTCAGGGCTGGATTGATAGTACAGCAGTTAGGGCTCTTGCCTTCCTATCCCTAGCATTGCACATGGTCCCCTGAGCACTGTCTGGAGTAATCCCCAGGCATCACTGGGTGTGGCCACGCCCCCCCCCCCCCCCCAACCAACTAAAAAAAAAAAAAAGCAACCCTTGCCTCCAGCCCTGGACTTCCTTATGGTGTTCTGTAACTTAAGTTAGTAGTTTTTTTCTCTTTCCTACCAAGTAGAATCCAAAATGACAAGTGAAGACTCTGGAAACATTCAGATCTACAGGTAGAAATTTGTGTGTTTTGGAGTTGGAGAGATCGTACTGCAGGGAGGACACTTGCTTTGCACGTTGTCAACCTGCATTTTATCCTCAACACTCCATATGGTCCCCAGAACCCTGCGAGGGTCTGAGCATAGAGCCAGGAATAAACCCTGAGCACTTTTTGGAGTTCAAAATTAAAAAAAGATGTTCCTTCTCCCCTCCAAAAAGAAACTTGTGTTATGTGTTACACAGCTCCTTTTTACTCCTGGGTAAGTTTGAAAATGTTTATAGTTGATACATAGGAGTGATAGCACAGTGGGTAGGGCGTTTGCCTTGCATGCAGTGGGCCAACACAAATTCAATTCCTCTGCCCCTCTTGGAGAGCTCGAGAGTATCTCACCCACCCACACGGCAAAGCCTATGCTAAACACAGTAACAAGTCACACAATGTTACTGGGCCGCTTGGTATTATTTAAAGTATCAAACCAGTATTTCAGATATTCTAGGAAGAAGTAAGATGTTGCCTAATATCCCAAGTCTCTGGTGGTCCTGGGACTGATTCCTGGTTTTTTTTTTTTCTTTTCCACATTTTATTTTAGTGGGTTTTTTGTTTGTTTTTGGGTCACCCAGCAAGTTCAGGGGTTAATCCTGCTCTGCACGTGGATTTTCTCCTGTCAGTGCTGGGGGACCATATGGGATGCCAGGGATCAAACAAAATGCTCTCCCTGCTGTGTTATTGCTCTGGCCCCCAGAGTAGTTGAAACTGCTAAATTTGTGATTTGTTACACAGTTAAGAAACTAATAAAACCCTTTCTCTGGAGGTCTTGGTCTACTCCCAGTAACTCTTGGCTAACATGGTCAGTAGGTCATGTTATTCATGTGGTTCCAGGGACTACCTGGGTCTTCCCTGCAGTGCTCAGAGGACCCCCAGGGCAGCACCTAGTGTTGCTTGGAGGACCCTTTGGTATTTGGAACGACTGGGTCAGTCACATGCAAGGCATGTGTGTTAACTACTCCTCTATTTTCTCTTTTGTCCCTCTTCTGATTTGTTTGTTTGTTTTGGGCCACACCCAGCAGGGCTTACTCTTGCTTCTGTGCACAGGGGTCACTCCTGGGGGTACTTGGGACCATATGTGATGCTGGGAATTGGGGGTTGAACTGGATGATGGGCCGCATGTAAGGCAAGAACCTTATTTCCTGTACTATCTTTCTGAGTGGGTCTTCTTGTTTTGCATTTGTTTTTGTGCCACATCTGGCAGTGCTCTGGGCTTTCTTCTGGCTCTGTGCTCAGGGATCACTTTTTTTTTTTTTTAATTTATTTATTGAATCACTGTGGGAAAGGTTACAAAGCTTTCAGGTTTATGTCTCAGTCATGCAAATATCAAACACATTTCCCTTTACCAATACTTATTTTTTACCATGAAGAACCCCAATAAAACCCCACCCCCCACCCCTCCCCGTCCCTGTGAAGCAGATGAATTCTAGTTAACACTCTATCTGCTTTGATTAGATTCATTGTTTCAATAAAAGATTCACCACTATTATTTAGAGTTTACCCCCCCCCCCCCAAATCAGACATGCTGAAAAAGCATTGTGAAGTGATTTGCTTTCTACGGCTGGGTTCAAGAATTAAATGTTGGTTTTGGATTTCTGCTCTTTTACCTATTGACCCTGGAAGTATTTCTACTGAAAGTCAGATAGTTAAGAAATTGGTTTCTGTGTTCTGGAGTCCTGGCCGTGCTGGAGAGCCGCTCGCGGGGGGCAACCGGTGGCCTCGGTAGGGCGTGAAGGGCGGACCGAAACGCCCCCCTTCCCTTGAGGTTTTAGTCGCCCCCACACTCCCGGCTCATACCTGCTGTCCACAAGGCTCCCATGTGGCCGCCATCTTTCTTTCCAGAGAGGAGAGGGCGAATGGGGCAACACCCTTTCCCCTCCGGCAGACTTGATGGCCTGGATCAATGCAGAGTCTGTTCACTTTTCTGCTCCAAGCTGCTGGGTTCTGCATTAAGTCCTTGTGCTTCTGGGGCCGTGGCCGTGCTGGAGAGCCGCTCGCGGGGGGCAACTGGTGACCTCGGTAGGGCGTGAAGGACGGACCAGAACGCCCCCCTTCCCATGAGGTTTTAGTCGCCCCCACACCCTCGGCTCATACCTGCTGTCCACAAGGCTCTCAGGGATCACTTTTTAAAAAATTAAAAAAAAAATTTAAAAAAATTTGGGCCTGGACACTTTGGAGCTTTATGGAAAACCAAGTATGAGCCGGTCGTGATGGGGTGACTGAAACCTCATGGGAAGGGGGGCGTTTCCAGCTCATCCTTCATGCCCTACCGAGGTCAGGAGTTGCCCCCCATGAGCGGCTCTCTGGCACGGCCATGGCTCCAGAGCACAGAAACCAATCTCATAATTATCTGACTCTCAGCAGAAATACTCCCAGGCTTAATAAGTAAAATACCAGAAATCCAAAATCATTTGATTCTTGTGACCAGCTGTAGAAAACAAATTATTTCACAATGCCTTTTCAGCATGTCTGATTTGGGGGTGTAAACTCTAAATAATAACGGTGCTTCTTTTGTCGAAACAATGAATCTAATCAAAGTAGATAGAGTGTTAACTAGAATTCATCTGCCTCACAGGCATTGGGAGGGTTGGGAGGGGGGGCTTATTGGGGTTCTTCATGGTGAAAAATAAGTATTGGTAAAGGGAAATGTGTTTGATATTTGCATGACCAAGATTTAAACCTGAAACTTTGTAACTTTACCCACAGTGATTCAATAAATAAATAAATTAAAAAAATTTGGGGCTGGAGAGATAGCACAGTGGGTAGGTGTTTGCCTTGCATGCAGTCGACTTGGGTTCAATTCCCAGCATCCCATATGGTCCCCTGAGCACCGCCAGGAGTAACTCCTGAGTGCAGAGCCAGGAGTAACCTCTGTGCATCGCCAGGTGTGACCCAAAAAGAAAAAAAAAATTTAAATTTTATTGAATCACTGTGAGATAATTACAAGCTTTCATGTTTGGGTTACAATCACACAATGATCAAATACCCAGCCCTCCACCAGTGCACATTCCCCACCACCAGTATCCCTGGTATACCCCCCCATCCCACCCTCCCCCTGCCTCTATGGCAGACAATATTCCCCTTACTCTTTCTCTACTTTTGGGCATTATGATTTGCAATGCAGATACTGAGAGGTTTTTATGTTTGGTCCATTATCTACTTTCAGCACACATCTCCCATCCCGGCCGATTCCTCCAGCCATCATTTTCTTAGTGATCTCTTTATTCCAGCTGCTTTCTCCCCTCCGCCCATGAGACAGGCTTCCAGCTATGGAGCAATCTTCCTGGCTCAGGGATCACTCTTGGCAGGTTTTGGTGCTAGGGTACTGAACCTGGCTTGGCTGTGTATGCAAGGCTAGCACTTACCCACTGTACCATCTCTCCTGCCTTCTGGTTTTTATTGTCTTTCTGCTTGCTGCCTCCCCTCACCCATCTCTCAGCTAGGGACCCAGTGCCACTGTTTCCATCTGAAGTCCATTCAGGGACCTTATTGGGATCAAGTTCTCAGTGAGTGTTGTATGGGTCATTCACCTAAAGCTGCTGAAGATTCTCTTTTCTTTGGGTGTCACCTTATTAGCTGGAAGAGCGAGCAGAGCAGATCCGGTCCAAGTCACATCTCATCCAGGTGGAGCGGGAGAAGATACAGATGGAGCTGAGCCATAAGAGGGCCCGTGTGGAGCTGGAGCGGGCAGCCAGCACCAGTGCCAGGAGCTATGAGGTGGGCTCTGAGGTAGAATTGGGTATGTGGTACCTGCGCAGACCATAATAAACAAGAGTTCAATGTTCTTCCCCTGGATGCCAGAGTCACATGGCTTGATGTCTTCTTGGTCACAGATTTCAACTGTGCTTGAGTGCTTGATGTTCTTGAGGATGCCACAGTGGGGTCAGCTGACAGACTGTCCTCTCTGCTAGACTGTTTTTTTTTTTTTTTTTGGTTCGACTGTGAATCTTTTTTTTTTTGTAGTATTTTTGTTTTATAAAGTAGTTCACAATATTTGATTACATTTAATATTCAAACACCAATCCCACCACCATTACCCCTTCTCACCACCATATTTTGGATGTTTCCATCCTGTACCCTAACCCCTGCCCCAAAGAAAAACAGAAATAATATATTTTATATTGTTTGTTTCTTCCGGATGGTGATTAAGTGATTGTGATTAAGTGATTAAGTGATTAAGTGATTGTTTGTTATGAAAAACTGCTGAAAATGCTGCATTTCCTTATGCAGGAAAGAGTGTGAAGATTGTTGTATTTTACCCAAGGGCCATTAAGCCCTTCTATAAGAGATCATTACCATGTTGTTAAAGGTTGAAACTTGTGTGTTTATATATCTGTAAAAAAAATATTTCCCTCCAAGATTGGTTGCTTCCTATTCTGAACCCCATCAAATGTGGTATGGTACTCTTGGAGTATGGGTAGTGTGTGGTATGAAGTGTCGTGTGACTACAAATGCGGCTGCATAGTCCAGAATGGGTTCACTTGTGGGTGAGGCTTGGCCCCGGCCGTTGGAGAGCAGCTGTGAGCATGGTGGTGGTTGAGTTCTGAAAGTTTTTGGCTTCTAGGACTGGGTCCCTTGGGGCGGAGAGAGCTCTCACCTGTCCGCCTCCGGGGCACCTGAAATGGAACAGCCTGTCATGGGTCCGGTGGCATGGTTATGGCGAGTGTCATGTTATGATCCCTTCCGGGAAAGGACATTCTGCTAGGCCTTTTGATTTCCCCCTCCCTTTGAAGGAATTGGGATCCAGCAGAAGTATCAGGTATTGTGAGCTTAGAAAGTCACTACTTTGCATACTGGTCTGGGTTGCCAGGTTTTGCTGAAAAATGGTTCTAGGGCCTCAGAGCAAAGAGCCCCAGACTTGGAGGCTGCTTCCCACTACCTAGACTCAGGCTAAGGAAGCTGTGCCAGGAAACACATTCAGTGCTCAGGTTTCCTTGTGCTTTGCTAAAGAGCACTTTGCCAGACTTCTCAGGAAGTGCTGCTCTTATAGGGCAAAAAGTTGCCAGGACTTGAGCAGGGCTCTGGACCAGAATGTTTCTGATCTCTGTGTCTTCCCCAAGGATGGATGTCTGGCCCTACTCTTGCTTTATGTGGCATATTTGTATGCTCTTATTTTTTTTTTCAAAAAATAGCTAATGTTTCAAAAGGTGTGATGTTAATTAGATGTACTTGAACCTGTATCCAGACTTCTTTTTTTAAAAAAAAAATTATTTTATTGAATCACTGTGAGATACCATTACAAAGCTTTCATTATTGAGTTTCAGTCATACATACCCTATCCTTAACTAGTGCGCATTTTCCACCACCAAGTCCCCAGTATCCCTTCTCCCGTCACCACCCTACCCTACCCCCTGCCTTTATGGCAGGTGCCTTCTTACTCTCTAATTTTGGGCATCATGGTTTACAATACAGATACTGAGAGATTATCACGTTTGGTACTTTTATCTACTTTCAATAAACATCTCCCATCCTGTGTGATCCCACCAACCATCATTGACCTAGTGATCCCTTCTCTATTCCAGCTGCCTTCTCCCTGAGCTCATGAGGCAGGCTTCCACCCATGGAGCAATCTTCCTGTTTCTACTGTCCTTGGGTGTTAGTCTCATATTATGATTTTTTATATTCCACAAATGAGTGCAGAGTGCAGTCATTCTATGTCCCTCTCCTTCTGACTCATTTCACTTAGCATAATACTCCATGACTATCCACTTATAAACAAATTTCATGATTTCATTTTTCTTTCATGATTTCATCTTAACAGCTGCATACTATTCCATTGTGTAGATGTACCAAAATTTCTTTAACTACTCATCTGTTCTCGGGCACTTGGATTGTTTCTAGATTCTGGCTATTGTAAACAGTGCAGCAATGAACGTACAAGTGCAGATGTCATTTCTACTGTGCTTTTTTGCACCCTTGGGCTTTATTCCCAGAAGTGGTATTGCTGGGTCAAATGCGAGCTCAATTTTGAGTTTTTTGAGAAACGTCCATATTGTTTTCCAAAAAGGCTGGACCAGTCGGCATTCCCACCAGCAGTGAAGGAGAGTCCCTTTCTCCCCACATTCATGCCAACGTTGGTTGCTTTTGTTCTTTTGGATGTGGACCAGTCTTTGTGGTGTGAGATGATATCTCATTGTTGTTTTAATCTGCATCTCCCTGAAGGTTAGTGATGAAGAGCATTTTTTCATGTTCATTTTGACCATTCTAATTTCTTTGAGAAAGTTTCTGTTCATTTCATCGCACCATTTTCTGATAGGATTAGATGTTTTCTTCTTGTAGAGTTTGACCAATTCCTTGTCTATCCTTGATATTAACCCTTTATCAGAGGGTGTTGGGTGAATATCCTTTCCCATTCTGTAGACTGTCTTTGTATCCTGGTCACTGTTTCTTTTGAGATGCAGAAGCTTGTTAGTTTAAGATAGTCCCATTTGTTTATTGCTGCTTTCACTTGCTTGGTCAGTGGCATTTCATATTCTTTTTTTTTTTTTTTTTGCATTTTGGGTCACACCCAGCGATGCACAGGGGTTCCTCCTGGCTCTGCACTCAGGAATTACTCCTGGCGGCACTCAGGGGACCAAATGGAATGCTGGGAATCGAACCCAGGTTGGCTGCATGCAAGGCAAACGCGCTAGCCGCTGTACTATTGCTCCAGCCCCAGTGGCATTTCATCTTTGACGATATCTTTGACTTCAGTATCCTGGAGGATTTTGCTGACCTTTCCTTCAGTGTACCTTATGGATTCTGGTCTGATGTTGAGGTCTTTAATCAGTTTTAATTCGAATTTTTTGCATGGTGTTAAGTAGAGGTCTGAGCCCATTTTTTTTTTCATGTAGCTGTCCAGTTTTACCAGCACCCTTTGTTAAAGAGGCTTTCCTTGCTCCAGTTTATATTTCTTGCTCCCTTATCAAAGATTAGATGATCGTATATTTGAGGGAGTGTGTAAGGATATTCAACCCTATTCCATTGGTGTGTGGATCTTTGTTCCAATACCATGCCATTTTAATTATTATCACTTTGTAGTACAGTTTGAGGTTGGGGAGGGTGATGCCTCCCATCTCACCCCAACCCCCCCCCCTCCCCAAGAATTGCTTTAGCTATTCATGGGGGCTTGTTGTTCCATATGAATTTCAGGAGTGTTTGATCAATTTCTTTGAAGACTGTCATGGGTATCCATATAGGGATCACATTGAATCTGTATAATGCTTTGGGGACTATTGTCATTTTGACAATGTTAATTCTTCCAATCCATGAGCAGGGCTTATGTTTTCGTTTCCTGTGTTCTCTTTTATTTCTTGAAGTAGTATTTTGTAGTTTTCTTTGTACAGATCCTTTACTTCCTTAGTTAAGCTATTCTGAGGTACTTGATTTTCTGAGGCATGTTTGTGAACGGGATTGCTTTTTTCATATCACTTTCTTCTCTTTCATTATTTGTGTATAGGAAAGCCATGGACTTTTGGGTATTGATTTTATAGCGTGTGACTTTACTATACAAGTCTGTTGTTTCTAGGAACTTCTTAGTAGAGGATTTAGGGTTCTCTAAGTATAGTATGTCATCTACAAATAGTGAGAGCTTGGTTTCTTCCTTTCCTGTCTGAATGCCCTTAATATCTTTTTTGTGCCTAACTGCTATGGTTAGTACTTCTAGTATTAAATCGAACAGAAGTGGTGAGAGTGGGCATCCCTCTCTTGTTTCTGATCTTAGAGGGAAGGCTCTTAATTTTTCCCCATTGGGGATAATGCTTGTGGGCTGGAGCGATAGCACAGCGGGTAGGGCGTTCGCCTTACAAGCGGCCAACATGGCCGACCCGAGTTCTATTCCTCCGCCCCTCTCGGAGAGCCCGGCAAGCTACCGAGAGTATTCGATATGCCAGACACAGTAACAACAAAGTTTCCAATGGAGACGTTACTGGGCCCGCTCGAGCAAATCGACGATCAACGGGAGGGGGATAATGCTTGCCATGGGCTTGTGGTAGATGACTTTGACTACATCGAGGAAAGTTCCTTCAGTTTCCATTTTGGTAAGAGTTTTCATCATAAACAGGTGCTGGATCTTGGCAAATGTTTTCTCTGCATCTATTGAGATGATCGTATGGTTTTTCTCTTTCTTTTATTGATATGATGGATTATGTTTTGATTGACTTGTGAAATGTTAAACCCTCCTTGCATCCCTGGGATGAATCCCACTTGGCTGTAGTGTATGATCTTTTTGATGAGTTGCTCAACTATCATTTACTTAAGGTCCCTTCTGTATCCCAGTTGCCTTTTCCCCTAGAACATGAGGAGGCTTCCAAATTATGGAGCAGTCCTCCTGGCCTTGTCTCTACTGTCCTTAAGTGTTAGTGTCATATTGTTATTTTATATTCCACAAATGAGTGCAGTCATTCTATGTCTGTCCCTCTTTTTTTTTTTCTTTTTGGGTCACACCTGGCGATGCACAGGGGTTACTCCTGACTCTGCGCTCAGGAATTACCCCTGGTGGTGCTCAGGGGACCATATGGGATGCTGGGAATTGAACCCAGGTCGGCCGCGTGCAAGGCAAACGCCATACCCGCTGTGCTATTGCTCCAACCCCATGTCCCTCTCTTTCTGACTCATTTCACTTTGCATAATATTCTTCATGCCTATCCACTTATAAGCAAATTTCATGAAAAATAGTAACAAGAAATCTCACAATGGAGACATTACTGATGCCCGCTCGAGCAAATCGATGGAACAATGGGAGGACAGTGCTACAGTGCTACCGTGCCTCTTTTCTAACCACTGCATAGTATTCCATTGTGTAGATGCACCAGAGTTTCTTTAACCAGTCATCTGTTCTCAGGCACTCGGATTGTTTCCAGATTCTGGCTGCTGTGAACAGTGTGCATGCAGACTTCTGACTGGGGCACTCACTTCGCCCATTTTAGGCTCAGCCAGCCCAGACATGAGCTGCTGCCTAATCATTGGCCCTCCTGCTCGTGGGGCTGTTTCCTGGGCAGTGGGGCTCTCTGTGTTGCCTTGCCTCTTTCTAGGAGGGGCATTCCTGAAGGCACTTGGGGAATGGATGGGGACGGAGGGGCCATGGAATATTGCTATTAAAAATGAGAATATTTTTTCTTCTGTGTATGTTGTCCTGGGGATTGAACCTAGAACCTTTCACATGTGAGCCATGGTGCTCTGCTGAGCCACCAAATTAGTGCAAAATGTAATTACTGAAGTTTCCTTTGCTAAGGGTGGGAAGCTGGCAGTGGAGGCTTTCTTGCTGGGAAGGGAGGAGCTGGTGGCTCTGGACTGAGTCCTTTCGTGGCAGGGCTGCTGTGCACTGGGCCTCAGCTATCCATCATGGGGTCTCACGGTCCATTAAACATGGAGGATTGGTGCCAAGTCTTGGAAAGGAGGATCCAAAGGTGGAGGCTGACAGCTGAGTCCTGGGGCCCCTCTCTGAGCTTAGGCTGTCCTGAGAGAAAGCTTCCCATTCCTGCCCCCCTTCACAGCAGAACGCAGCCTGCAACCATTTGAACTGGTCGTTTGGAATGGTTTTTGAGTGTTGGGTGTCTGTGATGTTTTTTTGGGTACTCTTGCACAGAGTATGGAGGACAGATTGGTACGGAATTCAGTTCTCTGTCCTGTCATACCTATTGGGTAGTGACACATACATGTCTAGGTCTATGGTCTTGTCTGGACCACCTGTGTGCCCATGGGGCTGGTACCCTTGAGTAGAAAGGCCACGTCCTGTTGTGATGTGCTGACGTGGGCTGCACTGACGCTGCTCTCTGGGCCCTGTTGTGAGGTAGGGACCCCTGTTGCAGGCTTCCTGGCTGCTTGGAGCCTTTACTTCCAGTTCCTTGTCCTTTGAGTTCTGGCTCAGCTGCTGTCAAGGAGACTGTGACTCCGTCTGTGCTTTTCAGATCCTCCATGGTGGACAGGAGGATCCTGGGTGCTAAGTTTGTTCTGAGTGAGTACCTGGCTATCCTTCGAGGGCACCTCTGCTGCCCAGCTTCCTGATGAGGTCTCTGAGGGAGAAGAGGGGCCAGCAGGATTTGCTTCCTCTGCCTCAGAGTACTAGGTCCCCCTTTGCTTCCTGACAGACTCGTTGATGAGCCCGGGGGTTGAAATGAGAAGTCTTAGCTCTGTCCCTTCTCCACACAAGCCATGTTTCCCTGAGGGCTTACACTGGGTGGTACAGAAAGTTACGGGAAATAATGTTCCTACCTGCATGTTAGATTGTGGTGAGGTCCAGCTGTTCTGTTCGCAGGCTCATGCTCCCACCAGCAGCCCTTGCGCTGTTCCTGCTCGGTTACCTGCCCCTGGGAAGAATGACTTATGTCATTGACAGCCTGCGTGCAGTCAGATGGAATCTGCTGGTGCTGCAGATGCTCAGGCATTTCTCCAAGGTCGGGTCTGGATTGGAGAGTTTCCACGCTACACCTCCTCCTTGCACAGATGGCCACTCTGAGCAGATGGCCGATGATGGTGTGGTGTGATTCTTACTGAGCGTTCTCCTAGAGGGACCCAGCATGTCTCAGTATGAGATTCAGGGTGCTGTTTGGGCCTTTGGGTGTTGGTCCTAATTCTTCAAGTATCTATTTTTTTTTCTTTTTGGGTCACACTTGGTGATGCTCAGGGGTCACTCTTGGCTCTGCACTCAGGAATTACTCCTGGCGGTGCGTGGGGAACCATATGGGATGCTGGGAATTGAACCCGGGTCGGTCATGTGCAAGGCAAATGCCCTACCCGCTGTGCTATCACTACAGCCCCCTTCAAATGTCTTTGATGCTCTTTCCTCACTGGGTTTCAGAGGACTGGGATGGGGGTTTCCCCAATCTCACTCACCAAGTCCTACCCTTTTGTCAGCGAGAGGTTGACCGCAACCAGGAGCTCCTGACACGTATCCGGCAGCTCCAAGATCGGGAAGCTGAGGTGGAGGAGAAGATGAAGGAGCAGCTGGAGCGCAACAAGTTGTGTAAGCAGAGCCTGGATGCCACCACCAAGAAGCTGCGGGAGAAAGAGGATAGTCTAGCTGAAGCGGGTGAGGTAAGGACCACAGCCCCTACAGCCTGGCAGTGCTGGGCCTTAGCCTGCTCCCTCCCCTGGGCCAGTCCCGGGTGTCAACGTTCTAGGCTCTAACCCTGACTTGCTCTTTTCCATGGGTGCAGCTGCAGGTTTTGAATAATTGAAATCATAATAAAATAATGTTTCTATTCTCTGGCTTTCAGTTAACAAGTTCAGCACTTAGTCGTTGAAATTATGGTGTTAATGGTACTAGTCTGTATATTGTCAGAGGAATATTTTTCTAGGCATACATACTGATAGACTTACCTATAGATGTTGCAGGTAACCTTTTTGTCTTACTGAATTGTTTAATGTGGGCAGACCCGTCAGTTGGGTGCCCTGTCCCAGGTGTGTCTGTGGCCCTTCCTACTGGCTGTTGTGGGGGTAGCCATACTGAGTATTCTGGCTCACTGCATCCTGACCTGTCATGGAGAGGGGGATCTTCTGAAAGTGCTTATGTTCATTCTTCCAGCAGATGTAAGTAGTGCCACTTCATTTGCATACCTTTGATTATTAGCACATCTGTTAGCTTCTGAGAGCATCTCTGAAACCAGAGTCTATATGAACTCTAGTCCTCACTGTCTGTCAGATGAGGGAGCGTATGTTTTGGAAATAGCTCTGCACTGATGCAGGTGAAGCCTGGACTCTCTGACCTTTCCTGTCCCTTTGCTGTGCTGCTTGAGATCAGATGAAAGCGTCCAGGGAAGAGTGGAGAGCCCAGGATCATTGGTATTCTCTCTCTCTGCTCGCTTTTCTCTACTTGATAGATCTTCAGAAACAGGCTCCAGGTTATTTTTGCCTTGGCAGAGCTGGAGAGCATGTTAAGGTTGTTCTGACATCTGTCTTCTGATGTGGATGTTGGCAGGAGAGGAGCCGTGATCAGCCTCAGAACAAGCTTTGTACTTGGCTGTGCTCCGTTTTTGGCTTCATGGGGCCTCTGGGAGGCAGATGTGAGTTCCTGGGAGGGCACGTCCTGCGTTTGGTTCAGTGGAGTTGCAGCAATACCCTTCCTACAGATGTGCCAAGAGGTTGACCCATAGGTGCATTGTGGAAAAGGTTGTAGCCAGTCGGGATGAGAACCAAGCACAAACGTTGCTTTTTTCACTTTTCACCTCACGGAGGTCTTCCGTCATCACTTAAGCGCAGAGTTGTAGCTTCTCTTTCCTGTTGTTATCTTGGTATTATGACTCATAATACGTCACTCTCTGAAGGCATTTTTTGTTTGTTTTGTTTTTAAGGGTGGGGGGAGCCACATCTGGCTGTTTTCAGGGTTCACTCCTGGCAGTGTCAGGGGATCATGTGTTGCTGGGGATCGAACACAGCTGGGGTCAGTTGTGTGCAAGGCAAGCAACTTATCCGCTGTGCTATCTCTCTTGTCCTGAAAATATCTTGTTTATCCTTTCCCACAGGACTGTCATCCCTGAGGTAAAACTTCCATCCTTGGTCCTGTACAGTGCTGGTGCCAATGTGCATTTTTTTCCCTGATTGACATCTCATGACTGTATGTGTTTTAGAGTATAGTGTCACACCTCTTCAACTGTTGTTACCACATCCCATCCACCACTATAATATGAGTGTCCCTACACTGTGGTCCATAGGCTCCCTTCCCCTTCTCCATCTGGTAACCATAGCTTAATGATCTGAGCCCTGGTTTCTTTCTGATGATTTTGTCTGTTCCTGAGCTTCGCTTTTCTGCCCTTCATATGTATGAGGTCTGCAGTATCTGTCTGTCTTCTTTGATTTATTTGACTTACCGTCACCTGTTCCAGTTTTAGTTATATTATTACAATAACATGTTATTACCACTTCTTTATACATTTATCTGTTCTTTATACATCTATCTATTTTAACCCCCATCACATGTGGACATTTGAGTAGTTTCTGTTTCTTGGTTGTAGAAAATGAAATGCAATGAAAATAGAAATGCAGATATCTTTTTGAATTAGTGTTTTCATGCTTTTTGGCTCGATACCCAGTAGTAAAATGGTTGGGTCAAACTGTAGATAAGTTTTAATTATTTCAATATTCTTTATATTAAATGATTTTTGAAAAATTCAGCAAGAGTTCTTGAAGGAATGTTCATTATCACTTGTACATTTTGTACCTTTGTTATTCTAAAAATTAAGAAAAGTACCTTGAGACATGTTGGGTAGTACTCAGGTGACCATGCAGTGCCAGGGATTGAATCCAGCATATGGAGCATGTGCTCCAGCTTTTTGAGATATCTTTCAGCAAATTTTTTTTTCAGTCATACCCAGTGATACTCAGAGGTTACTCCTGGCTTTGTGCTCAGGATTTACTCCTGGCAGTGAACGGGGGACCCTGTGGAATGCTGGAGATCAAACCTGAGTTGGCTACGTGCAAGGCAGGCTTTATACCTACTATACTACACTCTGGTCCCCTTCCAGAAAAAAAATAAAAGAATTAAAATAATTTTCTTTCTTTTTTCACAGTTTATTTTATTTTTATAAAGTAGCTCACTATATTTGATTACATTCGATATTTGAACACCAATCCCACCACCATTACAGCATCCCACCACCATATTTTGGGAGTTTCCATCCTAAACTCCAACCCCTGCCCCAAAGCAGACCCAAAAATAATTAATTTTGTATTGTTTGTTATGAAAAACTGCTGAAATTGATCCAAAAAGTTTCCTTAGAGGAGAATGTGTGAAGATTGTTGCATTTCACTGAGGGGCCATTAAGCCCTTTTATAAGAGATTACTAACGTGTTGTAAAAGATTGAGCCTTATGTGCTTAAATATCTATATGTATATATATGTAAAAATAGATTTCCCTCTAAGATTGGTGCCTTTTATTTTAACCCCCATCAAATGTGGTGCACAACTCTTGGAATATTAGTGGTGTGAGGTATGACATATCTGTGTGGTTCTGGAGGTTTTTGGCTGCCGGGGCTGGGTCCTTGGGAAGGGGAGGGGAAGTCACCGGTCCCCTCTCCGGATCACCCTAAATGAAACAGCCTTGCATGGGATCTGGGGGCATGGCTATGGCGAGTCATGTATTCTATTCTGAGAGATTTATAATGAGTCTCTGGATCATGACTGTTGATGAGATTATCTGGCACCAGCCAGAGGTGGTATATAGGCTTGACTGCCGATCAAGAGAAACAGGGAGATGGGGGGGTAAAATTATTTTCTTTTGGGGGGTACCATACCTAGTGGTACTCAGGGTACTTGGGGCTTTTCCCTACTTGGGCCTGGGGTAGCTCCCAGCAGTGCTTAGAGGACCATGTGGTTCTGTGAATCAAACCTTTTGACCCATTTGCTCAGTTCCTTTCTCATTTTTTTGGGTGGTGGTGGTTAATGACCATACCCTGTATGGTTCTCAGGGCTTACTCCTGGTGAAGCTTGGGGGAACTTTTTTTTAAATTAAAAAAAAATTTTTTTTTATTGAATCACCGTGAGATACAGTTACAAAGCTTTCATGTTTGAGCCTCAGCTATACAATGATAGAACACCCCTCCCTCCACCAGTGCACATTTTCCACCACCAATGTCTCCAGTATCCCCCCACTTCCCATCCTAGTCCTCACCCTGCCTCTTTGGCAGACAGGGACTAATCGTGTTTGGCAACATGCAAGGCAAACACTTTTATCCCTGTACAGTCTCTCTCTATCCTCTTCTCAGTTCCTTTTAAAATCCCCCTTTTTCCCCCTCCACCCACAGCCTTTTTCCTTCATTGTGGTTGACGTTGCAAAGACTTGGGTTTCATACACACCCGTCTATGGAGCTTCCTGGAGGTCATACATCAGGTTGTGATTCTTACACTTTTACACATTGAGCCATGTGCTCATTGAGGTCTGTACTCTTTTAATTGTGGTGCTTGCACACTCTTTGCTGGGGCATGAAAGTGGATGCATGCGAGTCAAGACTGTAGTGTTTGCTTGTGCTCAGCATGGTTTGTACTTCTTCATGGCACATCCTTTTGGTCATGGTGCTCACTGAGGGTCGCGTACCTTTTTGTGTGTTTACATATATGTTGTTGCAGCATGCATGGAAATCACTTGAGGCATCTGGGATAGCAGACACAGGGCTGTCACCATCAGTATATTTGGCACAGGAATTTGAAGGCACCCATTTAGGGCAGATACTCTTAAATCACCAGGTTATCCCTCTGGGCCCTTTTATCATGTTTTGATTGCTAGACTGATATAATAAAGCAAGTGTACATATTGGTTGTGTGGGATGTGGATGCCCTGTGCTGGCCTCCCTGAGGGATGTGAGTGGACAGTACCTGTGTTTAAGTGGCTGCAGGTGCTGGTGGCAGGTCAGTGAGTCTTCTGTCTCCTTGTGTGCTGCCACTGCAGGGAGTATCACGTGTTTCTCACTGTGGTCAGTATGCTGGTCTGTTTCTTGCCCTCTCCTCCTCATCTTGGCATCTGACTCATGGAGGCTGATGTGGATGTAGTTTTCCTAGCTTCTTTGTGATGTTTGTGAGTGGGCCAGCTTCTCCTGTTCATCTGAGTGCGGTGGCCTTCTCAGGAGAGCAATACGAGGAGGATCACCAGCTCGTTTGGTGATGATAGTCCAGACCAAGCTGGGGCAGTGGTTTGTTCCTCAGTGTTGGTGGGCATGCTCTGCTGGTGACTTTGTTCTGAGATTTTCTTCCCAGATCTCTGTTGTTTTTCTGGTTGTTGTGGCCTGGAAACTTTTGAATCTCAACAGCATGCTTGCAGCTCTTGTGGCATCCGGTTTCTGGTGGGTCCTTGGCTGTGGTACAGATTTAGTATATTCAGCACATTTGGAATGGTGTAAGGAAAGCTGTTCAGGACTGAGAGACTAGAGCAGGGACCACGTGGAGCAAGGGCAGATGAGGGTCTGAGGTGTCTGGAATTGGCGTCCGAGTGGGGTGAGACTGTCACTAGCACTCTGGTTGTGGAGAACCAGGCACGTCTTGGCTGGCAACCTGTCTCTGTGACCTGGTCTCTTTCTCATCGACTCATGGACGGCATGAGGCAGGGTGCTCTGGGAATTAAGACAGGGAATGGTTTCATCAGTTGTGGCTAGGTGTTGTAAAGCCTAACTTCCTAAACTGGGTTGGGACTCTTATGGATGTGGGATCTAAATGTGGGAGTTATGAAAAATTTGGCAACAGTTAAGGGCAATAAACACATAAATAAAATGAGTAGACAATGATACCAAAATTAAGGAAATGGCACTAACACTGCATAATGAATCCAAAGTGGTTCTGGCAGCACTGACTTGTTTACATTTCTTGGGGGCAAAAAGGGATCAAAAAGGATTAGAAAACATTTAAGAAACCCTGTTCTGAAGGAAAAGATGGCTGTGTCCCTGCCCTGGGTGGGACATCTGCTCCATCTGTGTGCTCATTTTCATCCGTACATTGGGGGTTCGTAAATGGACTCAGTAAGTGGCTCTTATGTCTAGACTAGTGTTTTCCAGAGTGGGTGATACTGCCATTGTGGGGGGTGGGTGTGCAGAATGATCCAGGGGAGTGGTTGCAGCCTTGATGCAATTGGGAGATTCTTTCTCTTCATTCCACTAAAGATGATAGATTTCCAGGGTCCATGGGGTGACTTTCTCTGTGTGTCAGATCTTGGGGCCCTCTTTTCTAGACCCTCCATGCACTGAGGGGCCTTCTGTTCTAGACCCTCCATGCACTAAGGGGGCTCTCTGTTCTAGGCCCTCTGTGCACTGAGGGGGGCCTTTTATTTTAGACCCTCTGCGCATTGAGGGGCCCTCTGTTCTAGATCCTCCATGCATTGAGGGGTCCTCTGTTCTAGACCTCCGAGCATCGAGGGGCCCTGTGTTCTAGACCTCCGTGCATTGAGGGGCCCTCTGTTCTAGACCTCCGTGCATTGAGGGCCCTCTGTTCTAGACCATCAGTGCACTGAAGGGTCGGCTCTCAGAGCTGCAGTGGAGTGTGATGAACCAGGAGATGCAAGTGAAGCACTTGGAGTCGGAGAAGCAGGAGCTGAAGGAACAACTGGACTTGCAGCACATGTGAGTGGGGAGGACAAGGTCGTGGCCCTTCAGTGTGTCCAGACTCTGCCCCTTCGCCAGGTGAGCCTGGCCATTTTGGATTTAGTCAGCCTCATGCCTACATGAAGCATGTGCTGAGCTGAGTCCTACTTGTCAGTATGTGTAAGACCCTACTTGGGGAGTCCAGGCATGTCCCTGTGTCCCCTGGTCAGGACAGAGTCTGAAGTCCCTGGAGCCAGTCAGCAGGTGTTAGAGTAGAGCAGTCTTGCGGGTACTGAGACAAGAGGAGGGAGTCATCCCTTCATCCCTCCAGGCCTGGACTCATTGGAGGACTTTTAGAGATGTTGTGTTTGACTAAGTGGTATAGGAGAGCTGTGGTTGAGAAATAGTTTGAGCAAAAGCTCAGGAATTTGAAAAGAACTTGCTTAGAGATGAGGACAGAAGCCTGAAAAACTCTCAAAGTCTTTTGTCTTGGCCTTAGCAGATGTCTGGCTCCTCAGTGGAGTGAGGTGGTCAGCCTGAGTGGTCCTTGGAAGTGGCTTTCCAAGGGCTTGTAGTTGAGAGCAGTGTGGGGAAGGTGGGAATTCTGGTTGCCACACTGGTCTGGACATTCAGTTGCCCCATCCAGATGGATTGCTGAGGCCATGGGACACGGGCAGGACCAGTTTCTGGGATCTTGGTTACGGGTGCCTCCTGCACTGGAGAGACATCAGCGTGAGGGAACGTTGGTTTCAGCACACACTGTGCCTGTGTGTAATGTCCTTTTCTCACAATAGAAAATGGCAGGAAGCTAATCAGAAGATTCAGGAACTCCAGGCCAGCCAGGATGTGAGGGCAGACCAGGAGTTGAGGATTAAGGTGAGTTGCACAGTTCAAGTCTCTGTTTTTTTCTGGCAGACAAATTGCTACATTACCGTGGTAATTTCTACCCTCCTGCTACCTGTTGGTGTTTCTGCACGGAAGCTCTTCCCTGCACAGACTTCATCTGTCTTCTGCGTCAGTGGTCCCTGCTGGTGACCCCGTACGCGGCACCAAGATGAGCCCCATTAGTGTTCAATGACTGCTGCGGTCCTGGTTTCATACTCTTAGCCTGTACAGTGATTTGTCACTAATGGCTGCCAGCTGTCTCCCATTGTGTCCCAAGGGGCCTAGATATTGTAAGAAGTCTGTCCTTACTGTGGAGAAGACAGTAGTCACACATGTGTCATTAGAGCCACAGCACAACTAGCATGGGAGGAGTGGGTTGTTTCAATGAGCCATTGCTGCATGTCCCCTGCCGGAAGAGTGCAAGGTCAGGGTGGCACTGGGCGGGACAGGCCCTGACTGGCACAGGTTGCAGACACAGCGCAGCCTCACGGCAGCACCACAGGGCAGCCTTCCCAGAAAAAGGGGTGTGGGACCTGGAGGCTGCTGAGAAGTGGGAGGCATTCAGCTCCGCTGGGAGGACTTGGTGACTTCTGAGCTTCTCTGTCCCTGCCCCACCCAGGACTTGGAGCAGAAGCTGTCTCTGCAGGAACAGGATGCTGCAGTTGTGAAGTCCATGAAGTCCGAGTTGGTACGGCTGCCCAAGATGGAGCGGGAGCTGAAGCAGCTGCGGGAGGAGAACGCCTACCTGCGGTGAGGGGCCGGGTGCCGGGGCCTCCCATTTGAGAGTGGGCTCTAGGATGCGTGACGCTCCCAGTGACTGGCTTCTGGCCTCCAGGGAGACACGAGAGACCAACGGACTACTTCGGGAGGAAGTAGAGGGGCTGCAGCGCAGGCTGGGACGGCAGGAGAAGATGCAGGAGAATCTGGTCAATCTGGAGCTGGAAAAGGAGGTGAGGGAGAGCTGTTCCTGGGGCGTGGCCTCTGTTGTCTGGTCCTCTTTTAGTCTTGTTCCTGCTGAGCCCCGAAGTTTGGAAGTGGCTGTGTGTCCTTGTCTCTGGAATTGGATCTGTCAGATGATTGGGAGTTGGGGTGCTCATCTGCAGGCCTGTGGTTGGGAGACCCGAGTTTTCTCGGTGGGTGTGTGGAGCTCACCAGATCCTTACTAGTGTGGGGGGCACAGGGACATCAGAGCAGTGGTATGACAAGGGAGGAGGGGTCCATGCCTGGCTGTGGCTCCTGCCCAGCATCTTTGTGCCTCCCACTTGGCATTTCCTGTCTGTATGGTGTTGAGTCCTCAGTGTACTCTTGTCTGTGTCCTTTCTCACCTTTCACTTTGCCTGGTTTCTTGAATGCACAAGGGTAGAAGTGTTGCTCAGTGCCGCTCATCTGCCCTGATGCCCTTTGAACGGTCTAAACCAGAGTTTCTCAGCTTCCTTCTTTCACATGTATGCTCCAGGTGGCCCTCATACAGCCTGGTTTCCTTTCTATGACTTCCTCATCCTACAGGTTAGCCCGCAGTCTCATGTTGTGCCCCCTCTGCCCATTTATGCATTTTTCACCACTAGCCCCTTGGAATATTTTGCGAGCCATCTGGCACCATCAGTAGAGAAACGCTCTGCCAGAGTGTGTGTCCTTGCAGGGCTCTGAGCCACTGAGGGCCTCTTGGGCCCTCAAGCTCTCCTGTGGCTGTGGGTGGGCAGAGAACTGAGCCTTCAGGTGGTTTGCTTCAGCCTGCAGTGTCCTGGCACGAGAACACACTACTGTCTCTGGAGAGAGATGAGCTGAGTGTTTTCCCTGGATGGAGCGATTTGAAATTGGTTCTGGCTTCGGCTTCTCCATGGATGCTAGCTGGGTGTGGCAGCTCAAGCAGCCCTCTGTTCACCTGTAGGCTTGCCTTGTATGGTTGTGTGAAGTAAGTGAATTTAGTGACTAGTTTAAGCAGTGCCTGACACATGGGAAATGGTCACGAAGCACCTGCTCAGTGATAAGCATTAGCCTCTCTTGTGCCTCTCACATAGGGCGGGGCTGCAGCTGGGAACGCATGGCTGTGGCGCTGTGCTTGGCCCTGGGTCTGTTGAGAGGAGGTGCTGCCCTCACATTGCTCACCTCCGGAAGGGGAGTAAGGTGAAGGGCTCTGTGGTCTGTGGGTGACCAGGGAGCAGATGGGTGAAAGATAGGGGCCAGCAACCTGCATGTAGCATCGGCTGACCCCTTCGGGCTTCCTGAGCTCCTGCCAGCTGCCATACCCCAGGGAGCCATCTGTGAGGTCTTGTCTGAGCTGCTCCTGGAAGATAAGGGAGGGGGCTTCTGGTGGTCCCAGGACCTGCTCCCCTCTGCCTGTTTTTGTGCTGGGATCGATCCCTTCTGAGCCCAAGGGAACAGGAGCAAATGAGTGCATGCAGTGTAGTTCAGTATAGGGGATGCTGGGGGATGGGGTGTTGTACATTTCAGCCCAGAGAGGGGCAGGCTCTTCTCAAGGGTCAGGGGTACTTGTCTTTGTTGTCATTGTGACCATGGTGACACATGGTCTGAGGTTGGTGTGTGGCATGTTGGTTGCGAGTGTGGACAGTGGTTTTGTGTGAAGGACAGGGGGAGGTCCTGCAGTGCTGGGACAGGTGGTGACAGGCCAGTGCTCTGACACTTCTACCTGCCTTGTCCTCCAGAGGCTGCTGGCGAAACTGCAGAGCTGGGAGAGACTGGACCAGTCCACAGGCTTGAACATCAGGTAGGCGAGGCGCCTTCCCCAGGCAGCTTCTACGGACTGTGGACGCAGAGTGGGCCCGCCATGGAGGCACCACCTGGACTGCAAGCTGCTCTGGTTTCCTCACATGCTCTGGCAGGGGTGGCAGCCAGTGCTTGCCTGCCAGATCTCCTTAACAGCTTCACTTCAGTCAGAACATTTGCCTGTACCCAGGTTGTCCCGGGGCTCTCGGTTGTGGCTACTGAGAAGTCGTTCCATTTAGTTGGTTGTAACAAGTCAGGAGAAACTGGAGTTTTAGGGGTGAGAAGGAGCACATCCTGACGGAGGGTTGTTCCTCAGGCTGCCCCAGCTCCTCAGTGTAAGCCAGCACGTGAGAGGGGAGGCATGTAGGTGGGCTCTGGGGGAGGGCTGGAAGAGCGGGTGGCCTCTTGCCATAGCTTCTCTCTGTTCTGCAGCCTGTGCTGGAGCCACCGTGCTTGTAGCTTCAGCTGTAGTGCTGCTGGGACCCACCTGTGCTCCCTTGCAGACTGATCTCTTTGCCTCTTGACTTTGCTGGGCTGCTTCTCCTACTGTCACTCTCCTTGCTCTCAGCTTGGGTGTGGAAGAAGGGTCGTTTTGGATTTGTCCTTCAAACCGGGGGGCTGGGGGCCTAGGTGTTGGTTTTTTGTTTCACCAGCTTGTATGACTCTAGGTCTGCAGCTTCTCGGTGGCCTTTCCTTAAGCTCTTGGACATTGGTCCTAATCGAGACCCTTCCATGAGAGCCGTGCTATGGTCCATGTGTGGTGCTTCTGATCTGTCAGCGCTCATCACCACCACCATAATGCTTCTTTTCTTCCTGCCGCAGAGTTACTGGGCACAGGCAGTTTCCTCTTAAACGCTACCTGCGGGATCCAGACACACGTTGGGCCTGAGTATTCTGGATATTCTGTGCTTCTTTCTTTTCTGTAGGTTTGTTAACTAATCAGAAAGCTTCCTCCTGCTGGATGAAGTTTCTCTGTATCTTCTCTTAGGTGGGAGATGATAAGCCTGTGGGCTGTTGAGGTCAGTTTACTGGAGTGTTGGGGTACACAGCATATGCATCGAGGCAGGTAGCATCAAAGGCTGTGGGGTCCATCACTGACTGGAAAGTGCAGCTGCCTCTTGAGCCCTTTGCTCCCCATATTTGAGGTCCTGAACCTGGCCTTGCAGGCCAGTTGGGATTTTTCAGATTGACTGCAGACTGTTCAGAGCATCTGTCTGCGCATCTTGGGCAGTCAGGGTTTTGTGCATGTTGTCTGCTCACTCCCCTGCTCTTAATGCCAACCCCTGAACTGTTCTGTCGACAAAGGAACCCTGCTAGACCACTGACTTTTCACCATGGGGTCATGGATCTCTCTGAACATGTGGGTGGCCTGGAGGGCTGGCCAGGGTGGGGGTACTGCCTGCCTACCTTCAGCTTAGAGTCAGGCCAGAGAAAAGGTGCATGAACTTGTGTCAGGAAAATAGATAGGAGAGCAGAGACTGGGTCCATCTGCATAGACCAGTTGCTCAATTTCTTTTTGTTTTTTGGGCCACACCCAGTAGTGCTCAGGGCTTGGGGTATCATATGTGGTGGGGTATCATATATGGTGCTGGGGATTGAATCCAGGTTGACTTGTGCAAGGCAAATGCTTTCACCCACTGTACTACAGCTCTGAGCCCAGAGCTGCATTGTTTCCCTGGAAAGGAAATATAGCACTTTCCTCTTCCACTTGACACAGTCATACTGGAAGAAGTACTGCAGCTCAAGAGGTGATATCCTTCAGTCAGAGGTGAGCTTGAGGAGCCAGTGAACATTCTAATTTTTTTTTCTCCTATTAGAATCACTTCTTTTTCCAAATTAATTTTTTATTAAAAACACTGTGATTTACAAAGTTGTTATTTATACAGTTGTTTCAAGCACTTAGTGTACTGACACCACCAGTGTGACCTTCCCTCCACCAATATCTCCAGTTTCCCTCCCAAGCCCAACTTCCCTCAGGCACATAACAAATTTACTTTATATTGCATATTCTGACAAAACTTTAAGAAATAGCAAATAGAATGATCAGAAAATAAATCAGGGGCCGGAGTGATAGTACAGTGGGTAGGGTATTTGCCTTGCATGTGGCCGACCTGGGTTTGATCTCCGGCATCCCGTATGGTCCCCCAAGTACTGCCAGTAGTAATTCCTGAGTGCAGATCCAGGAGTAACCCCTGAGCATTGCTGGGTGTGACCCCAGAAGTAAATAAATAAATAAAATAAATCAGTAAGAGCCAATTTGTGATTACTAAATCATTTTGACCTATGTAAATGAGAAATTAAAACCATTAAAACTATAATAAAATGCTTATTCTCATTTACATATATGTTTTCAACTCTGGAATCTAAAGTATAAGTAAATAAAACATTAAGTTTTATTTTATATTTGGATTTCATGGTAATAATCATGTCTCGGTGCTGGAGCGATAGCACAGTGGGTAGGGCATTTGCCTTGTACGTGGCTGACCTGGGTTTGATTCCCAGCATCCCATATGGCCCCCTGAGCACCGCCAGGAGTAATTCCTGAGTGCATGAGCCAAGTGTAACCCCTGTGCATTCCCGGGTGTGGCCCAAAAAGCAAAAAAAAAAAAATCGTGTCTCACCTGTCATTAATAAAATTTTTAAAGTAATTCTGTATTCATATATTGTGAAATTTACATGGAATAGGTAAGGCCTACATACGTAAATTTTCCCCCTACACTTTCTATAATAAACTCTGTGGTTTACAAAATTGCTCATGATGATTTGTTACGGGCATCCAATATTCTAGCACCAGTTCCACCACTATTACACCTTCCTCCATTATTATCTCCAAGTTTCCCAACCACTTCTTTCCTTCCTCTATAGAGGCCCTCAATAACTTATTTTGTATTGCTTGTTACCAATAATTTTGCTAAACAGAATGATCAAAAAATGTTTCCTTAGAAGAAGTTTATTGTAAATTGTTGTATCTCACACGGAGACTTTAGGTTCTTGTATAAGAGATTACTAAAATGTTGTTAAAGGTTAAACCTTCTATGTTTATGTTTTGTTAATTGAGATTTGTTGCCTTATGCATTACATCCCATCCAATCTGGTGGACTACTATTGTTTTATTAGTGTAGTAGAGATTGATATGTTGTGCAGCCTCAAATGTGGCCTAGTGCTCCAGGAAGTTCAGACTTTTTAAGAAGGTGGTTCATCTGGAGATAAATTTATACCTGAGTGGCGGCTTGGGGTATGTATGTGACTGCCAGGGCTTCTGAAAGTACTGGGTAGTGGGTGGAGGTAGCCCATCCTGACTTCGAGAAAAGCCTGGATGGAAGTCAGACTCACATGCTGGGGGAAAAAGCAGTTCAGATAGAGAAGCAAACACCACGTAAAGGATGTTGGGAGGATCCATTCAGGTTGAAAGATGCGTGCCAGAAGTAGACTATAGACCGAACACGATGGCCACTCAATACCTCTATTGCAAACTACAACACCTAAAAGGAGAGAGAACAAAAGGGAATGCCCTGCCACAGAGGCGGGGTGGGGTGGGGGGGGATGGAGTGGGGGTAATGGGAAGGATATTGGGAACATTGATGGAGGAGGATGGGCACTGGTGGAGGGATAGGTAAATGATTATTGTGTGACTGAAATACAAAAGTTTGTAAGTTTGTAATTGTACCTCACGGTGATTCACTAATAAAAAATTAAAGAAACAAAAACAAAACACCTGCATACCCGAATTTTCAGCAGATTAATATCTCAGTGAGGTCCATCGCAAGATGGTGGAGTCTGGCCGGGGGCATGGTGGCAACTTTGAGTTGTCAGAGCAGCTGGCTTCCGGGGGCTCTGTTTGAGCACCGTGCTAAACACCCTCCCCTCTCCTCCCCCCCCCCCCCCCCCCCAATCTATTCCAGTCTGTTCAGCCTTGCGCTGGTCCAGGATTAGCTGTGTTACAGCCAGCTTTGACCCAAGTAAGTTAAGATCTAGCAAATGTCTCAGAAGTAGAAGTTAGAGAGACCAAAAGTTGTTTTGGTTTGGTTTGGTAGGATTGAGTCTGTTCAAACTTTAGCCTGAGGCATTGCCGTTATTTGGGACTGAGACCACTAATTTGGGACAAGTGTTTGTTCTCTGTGGAGTTCTGAGAGCACCGCCACTAGGGGGCACACCCCCCCTTGGTGATCCCAGTTCCTGCCACCTTGGAGTTCCTGGGTACTTACTTTGTAGCCGTGCCAGGATCTTTCTGGTTTTAGGCCTGTGTTGTGTCACTCTTCCTGGTCACTGCTCTTCCACTGTGGAACTTTCTTGTCAAAACTAGGGCCTGGTTACCGAGGATGTGAGGGCTGTGGTTTTACACTCCCTTCCTGCCTTTGGGTAGCCAGTTGACCACTGTTAACTGTCTAGTAATACCCAGACTATTCTTTTTTGGGGGGGGGGTCACACCTGGCTATGCTAAGGGGTTACTGACTCTGCACTCAGGAATTACTCGTGGCAATGCTCAGGGGACCATATGGGATACCTAGGTCGGCTGTGTGCAAGGCAAACGCCCTCCCCACTGCACTATTGCTCTGGCTCCACCCAGACTGTTCTTGACCAGCCTCTTTGAGGTCTTAAACTCCTAGAGTCTATGGCCTTTGGCATTTAGACCAGAGTTTCTTCTTGATTCTCTGGTGAAAAAGACTGTGTATTGCCCAGATTCTCAGAGGAATTTGTGGTCTAGCAAGGAGAAATCCAGAGAGATCAAGGCTTGAAAAGGACATACAGCATGAAGGTGGTCACCTCTTCCAGGTTTGGGATTTCTCACGTGGGAAGGAGTCCAGAGATACTAGGAGATCTGGCTGGGTGCCTTGCCGGGTGGGTCAGCCACTGTAAACTTGTCCCTTGGAGCTGTTTGCTTATCTGCCAGGCAGGATCATCCATCTTTGATATTGTCTGACTTTGTTGCCAGCTCATGGGTTCATGTGTGTCAGGCAAGTGGGCTTCCTGACTCATGAGTCATGGTGTGGGAGGAGGTCT